TACTCTTTTGTAATAGGATTAACACACTCACATATTTTCCCAATGAAACTGAGTATATCTGTGTATTAGAGATGTTGCATTGACTTTAAATGGAAAGCTAAATTGAAATAAAGTTGCAATGACTAGTTTGGAGAACAAACAGCATTTGTAGAAATCTGCAAGTAGAACTTTACACAATGGCTCTCTTTAAGAGAACCCTGGCCACATACACACCTTTCAACTTTGTTGCAACTACTTCCTCTTTCTGTGGGGCTCAGTTACAAGGAAAGACTAGATCTTCTTGCAGGAACAAATTGATTGCTCTGGTCTGAGATCTGGCAAGGGAGAAATGATGCTGAGTCACTGTGACTAAATATGTGGACCTACCCAAGTTACCACTAAACAGGCATCATTTTATGCAAAGATGTTTAAATATCTAATCGAACAGTCTATCCTTTTTTCCTTCTTTTACTAATGTTACATGCTACAAAGACTTGCCATTTGTAGGCTAAGTGCTAGCAGGTAGTGTTGGGGAAATACAATTAAAATCAAAATCTGCTCCTAACCCAGAAAACCTTTCCACAAAGGTAGAAGAGAACAAAACAATTTTATTAACGAATAAGAATTAAACCACAACGTGATATATCACTGGCAATCTGCTAGTGTTTGCAAAGACAGAAAGAAATCTCATCTTTTACATAGCCAAGTAGATGCAACCCATTTCCTACATGTTCTCAAGGTGTTGGAACCAACTTGCTGGCAACTAACAACAGTCCTGAAATAAGAGGACTTGATAGCACCATTTGTCACACACTGTTTATCCTATATTCACCTAGTTATTGGGGGTAGCCACAAGTGTTTGTTAATTGCCCTCATCCAAAGGAAAAAGAAACTTCTCACTCCTTTCTGATAGGGGAGGTGGCTTTACAGCTTGGAGCCTACTGAAGTGAGGCTTTTATTCTCCCACAGAAGCTGAGAGACAGGAGTGCTGTCTTTCTTACTGATTGCCATTTTAAAGAGATGGCTTCCAGGTCTTTGAGGAAACATCCCTGAGTTGTAAAACTGATAAGACGCTTATTTAGCCTTTCAAGAGGAGTCCCCTCAAAAGGGGCAAAGAAAAAAAAAAGTGCAATTATAAGGGAAGAAGGAGAGTCCCTTTCCCCTCCTGCTCAGGGAAAATTAATTTTTTTTCTTTTTTTAGATTTATATTTGCCCTCTGGAGTCTCTGGGTGGTGCAGATGGTTAATGTGCTTAGCTGATAACCAAAAGGCTGGAGGTTCTAGTCCACCCAGAGGCATCTCAGAAGAAAGGCCTAGTGGTCTACTTCCAAAAAATCAGCCATTAAAAACCCTGTGGAGCACAGTTCTACTCTGACACACATGGGGTCTCCATGAGTTGGAGCTGACTCGTCAGCTGGTGGTGGTGGATTTACCCTTTTACAGAAGCAAAAAGTACTGCTTCCAAGGATTGCTGGAAAACTACAGCAAACTGGCTCAGGACAGCAGAGGTGGGACGAAGGCTAGTGTCCCTTTGGAGATTAAAGCCAGGACTTGCTAGAGCTACAGCGTCATGCTGACCTTCAGTTTTTAGAAAATCCTCAAATGCTTGGCTTATAATGCTTGAGAAAGTCAATCCATGTTACTATTCATCTTAATAACTTTCTGACTTGTCCTAACTCCACAACTCCCAAATCAAAGCATGGGCATGAATTCTAAAAAAACAGCCCTTCTGTGCAGACTTCCCAGGGCACGGACTCCTTTGTCTGACTTACATAAGAGTGTAAGCAACATACTAGCTGGGGCAGATTTGAAAATCCCTGCTCTGCCACTCACTTGCTGTATAATTCTAGTAACTGAATGCAAATGGCTTCAACATGTTGCAAGCAGAAAGAGCAATTTTGGAAAAAAAAAAACAAACCCAAGAGAACAGATATTCAAAAGCCAAAGGATTAAGAGTGCGACGTGCTCAGCGTAGCTAGAGTCCAGGTCTTCCTAAGGGAAAGTAGAAAAAAATCTCAGCCGACTGAAAGGGGAATGGAAAATAAAAACACAAAAAACCAGAAGAGCAACACATTCGGTATGAACAGAGTTCATGGGGCTATCCTGTTTTCTGTACCCTCAGCTTTGTGAGATGTGGCAACCCACAGACAGCAATCCCAATAGGGGGCCAATCCTGGGTGAGGTCTAGTTATAGGGAACAACCAGCTTCATAAAAAACAACTCAGGGATGATCATTCAGGCTAAACCAAAAGTCCAGTAGTGTTTAAGGAAGACGTGGCCTAAAGTAACCCTAGAGTAAACCTGACTTTTAAGACTGACAAGCCCCATTGAGAAAATAGAAGCAATTGGAGGAGCTCTTGTACACACTAGGAGCCTATCGCCAACTCTACCTACTGTCTCCCTCTGTATAGTGCCCACACTTTGCCTTACCTCCCAGTGTTGGGGATATAAATCACCTGTGCACCCTTCCCGTCTGAGACAGTGCTCTGGCTCCCACTCTTGGGCATATTCAAGGGTATCACTGCAGCCATTCTCTTCTGCATCATCGATCTTCCCTTCCAGTTCATTCTTTTCAGTTAGCATACAAACATGCATGCTCTCTCTTTCCTTTAAAAGAATAAGCCTCTCCTAGACCTCATGTCCCCTTCCATTTCTCTTCTCCCCTGTAAAAGTCTGACAGACAATTCTGTTCTCACTGTGTCAACCACCTCTCCTCCCATTTTCCCTTGAACCTGCTCCAGTGATGCTTTCTTCTGCACCGCTCCATGAAAATGCTCTCACCATCAATGGCCTTGCTAGGGTAGAGCCGCTCCCGATGACTCCTTCATGTGACGTGAGCTCCACTGCTGGAAGATTCTTGGCTTCTGTCAGCCCCTCACTGCTCCCCAGAGAAGGAATGACAATCTTGAGTTTGGAAGAAGCCCCTAGGCATGGATAGCCAGCTACTTCCTTCCCCTCTTTTAGAACCCAGGCTGCCTTCAGAGAACATACATTGCTGCTTCTCTATACTTTTGCTACTTAAAAGTGTGGTCCCGCAACAGCAGCAATGACGTTACTTGGAAGCTTGTTGGAAATGCAGAATCTCAGTCCTCTCCCCAGACCTACTCAATCAGAACCCATAAGATCCCCAGGCGATTTCGGTGAGTGTTAAAGCTCAGGAAGCCCTGCTCCAAACCCTCAATGAGGTTCAGTATTAGAAAGTCCATTTGCCTACAGACGTTAAGTATCATTCTCCATTACAGGTTTCCCCCACTATCTGAAAGTACAGCGTTCCTATGAAAACCTTTTGTAAGCTGAAATGGCGTAAAGCAAAGAAGCAATTTACTATTAATTTGATATGGGAAAAATTTTTGAGCATTCCCAGACACAAAAAATAATCTACCAAATCATAGCAAATAGCACTAAGAAAGATATGGTGAGATGTGCTTCATAAAAACCACATCTACGTTTACTCTAGGATTGCTGAGTGTAGTTCCTGGGGAAGGCGCTTGGCGAAGTCACTGTCACTGCCCGAGATGCCCGCTGCCTATTTAGTGGCCTGCTGCAAAACAAATGCTGAACGCTATTTCCACTTTTCACCTTTTTTCGTAAAAGCAAAAATCCTCTTTGGATTTCTTTCAGTTAACGAAAACAGGTACTTAATGTAGATCTTTCATAAAAGTGAAGTGGTGTAAAGCGAACTTTCAAAAAGCAGGGAATACCTGTACCACCTTTATCAGTCATAAAGGTGACATTTTGGTTTCCCATCTACCTTACTCTTTGATTTCTCAGTTGGTTCTGAAACTGGGAAAAAATAATGGTACTCACTGGCTCCCTCAAGCTCCCTAGACCTCCCTGTTGTCACCACTCAGTCCTTATTTTAACCTACTTTAACTGCACTGGACACAGTTATCACTTCCTCTGTCTTCAAACACTTCCTAACTTGGTTGTCACGGATCACTCTTTCTTCAAGGGTCACTCCTCCTCTTGGTAGCTTTTAACTTCCAAATGTGTCCTGAACCTGCCCATTTCTTACCACCTCTGCTGCTCCTACCTTAGTCCAAGCCACCATCACCTCTCCCTTGGACTACTGCGTAATAACCTATTTTGTCTCCCTTTGTCTACTCTTGTTCTCCATCCCACTGACTGCCAAAGTGGTCTCCTAAAAACACAAAAAGATCACGTTACTTCTCAAAAACCTTCAGTGGCTTCCCATTTCACTCTAATAAAGTCCAAAATCCTTACCTAAGCCCTAAATACTTGGCCCCCCTATTTTCTGATGTCTTCTACTGCCCCTCCACCCTCACTATTTTTGGAATCTACTGAGGACATTCCTGCTTCAAGGGCTAATTTCTTTGCTTGGAGCACTCTTTGTCCAGGGATTTGTATGACTTGCCCTGTGTCCTGACTGAGGAGTTTGCTTACCTGTCATCTTCTAAGACAGGGCTTCCCAAGCCACAGTCTGAAAAGGAGCTTCCTTCTCATCTCTCTGTAATCTTCTGTCCAGCCTTACTTTTCTCTGCAAGACTTACCACGTAATATTGTAACTGTGTTTCATGAATGTCCTCCTCCACTGGAATGGTAGGCCTCCGACGTGGTGGGCACTCAAACGTTAAGCAAATGGTTGCTTTCTGCCTGAATGCTGCTTCTCCCTCTCACCTTCTGTTTTTCCCCAGGCACCCAGGCCAGCAGTCCCTGCTGGTGCTCTGCCAGAACGGGTGCTTATTAAGCTGACAAGGTGAATTTTCAACCCCCCGAAGAATACTCCAGAATCATTGGTAGGTGTGTAAAGAGATGCTTCAGGAGAAAAAAGACAAATCTCCCAGTTAAATTAGTCACTTCCAGATTTGGGAGGAAGGCACTTTCACCCCCAAAGAAATGACACCATGTTAGTTTTCCTAATTATACAATAACCACTGTTTTGCACATCAGAAAGGAACGCGTATTTGCTTGGAAGGTAGTATCTTTGCAAATCAAGAAAAGAATTCCTTGTGTAAATACCTTTCAAAGGGTGCAAGAATAAATGTACACGAAGAGCCTTCGGATGCACTAGTTGTACCTTTATTTGTTTTTACCTTGTTCACTAATAGCTCTGTGATGCAAGGTTAACATACAGTTAGATAATGTCTGCATTGCACACCTAAGGCTATATAGCAAAAGAATAAGAATTAGTACAAATACAAGAACTATATTTACATTCTGTATACTCAAGCTCCAAACATCAGGTAATATTTACAAAATAAAACATGAAAATGAAAATCCAAAATTAATAATGTACATTGTTGCTAATGTGCTCAACTCCTTCACTGGGGAGAGATCAGTTTGCAAAGTCTTGGTTCAAAAAGGCCACTTATGAGTAATGGGTTTTGTTGTAGTGTATGAGGATGGCCACAAGAGACGTGACTCTCAACGAACAAGTACTTTAGAGCCACAGAGTCTAAGACAACACCCTAAATGTGAGAAGGCTGATGGGTTCCTCAGTCACTGATGCCAGAATATGCAGCATGAAAAAAAAAAAAAAAAAAGTTCTCTGAGACATGAAAAACAACACACAACAGCCAGGGTTTGGCAAGAGACCAACCTCAGCTTGGACTTTCCATCTGAGCACAGCCATATGGCTGTGAGTTTTTAACATGAGTTTTACACCAATTATAATTTACTCTTTAAATGATTGGAGGCTTTCCTCAGATTTTGTAGGGTTCAAGTACTAATTCATAAATGGCCTTTTGAACAACAACAACAAATAATCTCTCGGCTGATATTTCAATTTACTAAGGAAGCACAAATGAAGACATTCCTGCTACATACAGTCACAGGCTGGCCACATCCTTGGGTGAATCCTCTGAGCCACAGTGGACAGCTGCAGTGCACACAAGTTAGAGTCCTATTTAACTGACATTCAGCAAACCTGCTGGGAGCAGCAGCAGAATTAGTCTTGTCTTTTTAAGGAGCAGGTTAACAATCACATTTTTAAAAGGGAACTGAAAGGAAAAATGAAGGACCCAAATCAAACAAACAGACAAACAGCCCCTGATACTGTACAGCAGAGCTGAGCGGAACACAGCCCGAGGGAAATGCAGAATACCGACAGGCTACACCCAAGAGAATCCTGTCTTTTCCAGTCCAAAGTGCAATTAATTACAGCTGTATAAATATACATATACCTTACAAAATTAAATACCCCTGTAAATTAGGTGACAAGCAGCAGGCAACAAAGTCTTTGCTTTGAAATATACGCCAGGAAAAGTCATTGTACTTTTAGATCCAACAAGACCTTTCGTAATGATTTAATTTATTCCTTTATCTGAAGAGCGGAAAAATCCATCTGAAACATGAGTAGTTATGTAAGTTCTACCTAGCTAAAGGGAAAAAAAAAACAAAAAAACAAATGATGCTGGTTTCTTGGTTGAGAAACCACTCTGTAACAGAGCACAGGGCCTGGGGCCCAGCCAGCTGCCACAGCGGCTATCCCAGTGCCTGACCGTGTGCCTGACTGTGTGCGTGGGCTGGCTGGCCCCGGGCACGGTCCCGGCCTGAGGGCTGACTGACTCCCAGGCTGGGGCACAGAAACAGGTGGGTCTGACCCCTCGTGTGGTGTGAGGCCCTGCTGTTCTTGGGCAGGAGAAAGGAGGGCTGGGGGAGTTGAGGGGAGGAAGAGATGAATAGTTTTATAGCTAACACTCATTTTTCTTTAATTTACACGTGAGTTTTCTTTTCTTAATAGTTTTCCCTTGTTTAAAGGATATAAGGATAAACCAGAGGTGCTTTAGGCACAAACAAACCACCTCAAAAGGAAATTTAACTTTACTGCCTAGTCTATGGCTGCAGCTAAACTTCCTGCCACAAACTCTATCTGAAAGCTTCAAAGTGAGGATGGCCTGGCATGGAAAGGCCACATCAATTCTGAAACTGTTTTAACTCCAATCTGAAAATGAGCCCCTAAAGAAAGAGGGGTGCCAACAGGGACTGCCTGTACCTGTCTACTGCACAGAGACTTCCCACACCTGCCTGAGTGCCCCTGTGGGACACCCACATCCTGTCACCTCTGCTTCATAACAAGCCTTCTTCTCTGGGCATATTATGGACAGACAGTCCAGTCTGGCTCGTTCTCATATCCGACACATTCAAAGCAAAGACTTTCCAAGCCAGTTTTGTTTGAGTTAGAAGACAAACCAAAAGTCAGTTCAGTGTTATCACATTTTACTCTCTCTCAGCCTTCTCCAGCTCCCCTTGCCACAGACAGGGATCCTTCTACTAGACTTTATAACAGCAGCAGCATCTGTGATTTCATTTTAAAAGTAACCTTCCAACTTCATCTTCATTTCCCTGAAATTAGATTTAATTTAGCCCAGGAAGCTGTCTCTAAGCACCGACAGATCCTGGTTTGAGTACACACCAGAAGGGCATATTGTGTTCATTAGACAATGAAGAACCCTCTAACTACATTAAAAATCTCACACACCACTTGGAAAACAAATAACATTGTAGTTAGTGACCTATGCTTTAAGGAAAGGAAGAAAGTTAAAAAAAAATCCCCATAGAGTTTTTATTCATCACTGTCACATCAGGTCAGCATGTGATGTCTACCCTTTCTGTTGCTAAGCTCCCTGTGATTCACTTTTTCTCTTCTTTGCAAAGTAGTTATAATGCATGAAGCTGGGAGACCTGTTCTGCAGAGACCAGCCCACCAGCAGGTCAGATGCCAGGGCCTGGGTGGTGGTGACAAGCCTCCCTAACAACTGTTCTGCAGGGCACAAGCCCGTGGCTTCTGCTGCCTGAAGCGGAAAGTCATCCAGTTTCCCATCACCTGATAGTCAGCAACCTCAAGGCCGAGAACCCCTGGTCCTCCACAAAGTGGGCACATGGGTACTTTCTTAAATGTTTACGGGATGGCGAAACAGAGAGGTTCCAGCGAAGATAGTATAAGCAAGGGAAGTAAAGGATGGCAAAGTAACTGAAGTAACCTGGAGGCCTCTCCCCCGTGTCCTTCCTGTAAAACTCACTGGCAGCTGAGAGAAAAAGTATCTTCTGTGGTGCCTCTGGAAGCCAGACGACCTGGCCTGTCAGAGGAGAAGACACTATCAGCAGTGAGCTGCTTCCTTTCTCCTCTGACAGTATTTGCACACTCATGGAGAGAAGAAGGATAACAAAGGAGAGACGGGAGGGGTGCAAGCAGAGACTAAACACCTGATACCAGGGTCAGGGCTCAGGCGGGCCTCTTCTCTGCCTCCAGGGGCTTTCTTGTTTTTTTTTTTAAGTGGTGGTAGGGGATTGGCTTTACTCCTGGGATTCGTAAAGCATCCTGCCATGTTTATTTATAAGTATAGGGAGACTGCTTACTGTCCTTTGACAAGCATCATTGACCACTGGATTCAGAGTGAGACTTCCAAGTTTATACTTGAAAACTGCGCTTCTTTGATGTAAGTGAGCTCCAAAAATCACAAGGTCCCTCACTCAGCATTATCATAACTATAATGACAATGACCATTAAGTTCATCACCAGAAAGTGAAACACTGCCCTCTTGTGGGATATTTGTGTATGACACTGCACCAATTTCAAACTGTACCACCACCATCCCAAATGCCGAGGACAGAATTTAGAAACTCCATAAACAGAGCCTCCCTCCGAATACAGAGAGAGACACAGTGCAGAGGAAACTGTGATGAACTGCAAACATCCTACTAACTGCCTGCCCTCATGCCTCACTGCCAGATTCTGTAGTCTTTCTGAAGTGACCAGCAATACCCTTGGCTCTTCCCTTTTTACACGGTCAAGAACAGCCACGGTTCCTAGCCTACTAAGAAGTCTTCTCTTCTCACTTGCACTAAATGAAAATTCCATAACCATGTTCTAAATGAGCCCTAATTTCAGCTCAGAGAAGGTAACTGTCGCATTTCTAAGCTCAGCACAGCCTTCCCCTGAAAGGAAGTGTAGGGATTAGCCATGACAAAAAGACACCGAGGGGTTTTTTTCCTCTCAGTTTCTAAAAAGGTTAGATGTCTCCTCCCTTCATCTCTAAGCCACCCAAGAAAAATTAAAATGACATCACCATCACAAACAAAGAAAAGAAAAAGAAAACTATGTAGTTGTTTTTGAAAGACAAAGATATCCAAAGACAGCAGTACAGACAACAGAGGTGGTCATAATGGGGATCTATCATACAAAAGGAAGCAAAATACACCAAAAAATAATTTGAAGATTCACTGGATCCCCTCTGGGTTTTTGTTTTTTTTTTTCTCCCTTTTGTTAGGCCACATGCTACTCACAAGATTCTCAGCACAGGAAAAAAGAAAGGAGCACAGAGCAATGGAGATGGGGGACAGGAGAGCTAGAAAAAGTGCTGGACGAGGAGGGAGAGTAGTTAAGCCACAGGATTACATACGAGAGCAACCGTCAAGAATCACAGACAGAATGAGAGGTAACACTTTTTTTATCTTTCTGAAGGCGAGTGAGGACCGCAGCAGAGTCAGTAGTTCAGCTGGCTCGTGCGTCTGCGGGAGAGTTTTGACCTGTGGGAGATAATGAGATGATAGGATTAGAAAACTAGACTCAGGTGTTAGTCTCCTCACAGGTCTTTCTCCTCTGTGGTTTCCTCCTGGAACTACTTCTTCCTAGTCCACCCTGCAGGTCCAGGCCTCTACGTTTGCTGAACAAACAGGCTAGGCTGTAGTCTCTTCCACTCTGGGGACCCTTGACCCAAGGCCCTTGGAGAATCTCTCAGGGCTGGGTATTGGGAGATCATTAGGGTGTTCACGACCTTCCCTCTACTTAAGACCCCTAGACCCCAGCTACACCCCTTAGAACAAAAAGGAGATTGATCAGGTGTAAGTGTGACCAGTCTCCTTAATGGTTCAGGACACAAGCTGACACCTTATAAGAAGCACAGACCCCATTACCACCCACTCCTGTCCTTCCTCTATTTTAAACCTGTTTAGAGCAGTAACTCCTTTCCTATTTATGTTGATGTCCCTGGAACCAAAAGCCAGAGAGAAACAAAGGAACAACTCTTACCGTATTGTGCCAGCAAGGAGTGGGTTAAAGGCATATAACCAGTCGTTCATGTCTTTGTCATTGAGAGCCTGCAGAAGGACCCCACGGTGCTTTGTGCACACGGCAAAAGTGTTAGGTGTCTGAAAGAGACACAGGTAGATGAGAACGTTACTACAGACACTGAGCAATGTGGACCACCTGCCATATTCATGGGGCATACAGCCCTTCACACTGAAGGATCAGGAGACCACATATGAAGGAAAGATTCTGCACCACTCAAAAGGGTTCCCTCAAAAGGGAAGGGTGCATGTGAAAGGGGACAGCCAGAAAAAGGGCAGGACTGACCTTCACCATGGCCTGCTGGTCCTCGCTGTACTCCACCTGTGCTGTGGACAGGTTAATGATTCCACGCTCCACTGGGTCTTTATCACTGTTATAGATGAAGACGTATGGGCGACGGACCACAACAAAATGTTTAGCCCAGTTGCTGGAAAGTGGCTCCTTGAAATGCAGGTATCCTTTCTTAGAGACCACTGAGCTGAAAAGGATAGTAACAAAAGAAGTTAGTTTCTCAAAAAAGAAAATGATCATGACCTGATGACCATCATAATATGTCTCACCTAGGCTAAGCCCCTGGAGTCAACAAAACAAATAAATGATCTATTAGGTCTGTAATCTTATCTGCCCAAAGTAATGCTGCAAAAGGGCACGAAGTGCCACAGCAATGTGCTATGCCAGGGTGGAGAAGGCATCACATTTCAACTGGAGCAGAAAGCCAGGCCAGGTCTTTCACCCCAAATTCAATCACCATTAGACTATAAAATGACCTCTCATAGATGAACCAGTAGTAAATTCTTCTTGCCGATTTATCTTTTTTTATATGTCGCATCTTTCGTCAACATAGTACTTACCCAGCTCTAATTTCTTCAATATCTGGAACAAGATTGAGAAATTCATGTTTTCCTGCTCGGGCCAAATAGGGTGTTTCCACAGGTGGGACAATCTGAAATTGCTCAAATTCCAGGCAGGGACTAGAGGCCCGGGAATTGGCTTCTGGGGTCCTTTAGAAGAGAGATTAGGAGGAAGCAAGGGTTAACAAGAGGCTCAGTTAAGGTCAATGCATAATGTGCTGAACCATCCCACCAGGAGGCACACAACACCTTGCCCTGAACACCACGCACCTTGCAAACACTGGTTTCAGAGAGCTCAGCAGAGAATACAAGCTGGTTTCAGAAAGTTAATTCCACATTCAACTGGTGTCATCCTTTCGAAGTTAAAAAAGGAAACCGACAACTGATGACCACCAAGTCACAGTCTCTCTTCCTGTTCTGAAGCTCTCTGAACTTCCTATTTCTTTGTTTCTAATAAGTCATGTGGCCACACCTAGGGCCATGGTTCTCAAACTATGGTCCCTGGATGAGCAGCATCAGCTTCACCGGGAATTAGCTAGAAATTCAAATTCTCAAGCCCCACCCCAGCTCTACTGAATCAGAAACCCTGGGTGGGGCCCAGCCATCTGTCCTTTCACACACCTTCCAGGTGATTCTGATGCTGTTAAAAGTCTGAGGCCCACTGGCCTAGGGAATGGTGGGCAGAACAAACAGGTGGGAAGGCCTGGCTCCTGAATGACTGTGTAGAGCAGAGCTCCACCATGACCTGCACGCTGCTCGGGACTGCTTCGTGGGTGAGAAATCAATCCCTATGCTCTGCTATTAGGTATCTTTCTAGAGCAGTTTAGCCTAATTAATTGTATTTCACCAATTCTCTGAAATTGGGATGTATCTTACAAGTTGATGGCATATCACATTTTAGTTGGTGGTGTTTTTTTCTTTCTTAGTGGCATATAAAGTAATGTCTTACAGTCGATGGCATCCTAAATTTAATGAAATTACCTGGCTGTGTATTTTTCTCCAGCCAAATTTCACTGTCAGTGTTGGTGCAGTAAGAGAGTTGGATGATAACCAGGTGGCTTTCAGCAGGTGAGCATAAAGAATGGAGACAGGGGCATGACGAATTGAGCAGTGACTATAACGAACCATGTGCTTTATTATCTTTATTTTTCTTACTATAATTTTTGTGTGTGTGGTTATCATCAAAATATTTTTCCAAAGATGGGAAATGTCTGATATTATGATTGGGGGACAAGCAGGGGTGGGTGTGGAAGGACAAATGAGTGGAAAGGGATAAGAAGAGGAGTTGTCAATGACCTGATGTCGAAAGAGAGTAAGATGTGACTTAAAAGGCAGACATGAATCTCAGCTGCTGTGTCCCTCAGGTTTCTCAAGGCTGTACTGGTGGCATTTGGGTGAGGAAGTCTTCTCTGTGTGGGACCTTCCCTTGGATTGCAGAACTTATAGCAGCCCTGGTCCCACCCTCCAGCCAGTCATTGTTACATCAAAAAAATGACTCCGTCACACTTCCCAATGCTGCCTAGTAGGAGGGTGCTGTCCTCCCGCCTGAGAACCACTGAGACGGAGAAAGGTTGAGATTTTCCTTGATTCTTAGATCAAGCTTCTTGCAGTGAAATCTGGGTACTTACTTCTGATCCAAAGAGTTGTTCCTCAAGTCTACCAGAGAGGGGCAGGTGGATGAGGGAGTGAGGGTAGCACTGCTGAAACTAGACTCAGAGGGATCCCGTCCAATTGGAGAGATATCAGACAACTGGAAACAATAGGAATACAGCATGTGAGATTCAGATGAAACAAGCTGCCTTTGCAATAAGGGGCTTTGACAACCAATGACCTCACTTTCATAAATCTGCTTCAGAAGGTCATTCAAGAAAATAAGCCTACAAATAATTTACGGCCTGGGTGCCACATCAGGAATCAAGACATTTACAAAAGAGGCAAGGCCGGCTTTTTATATTGCTACTGGCTTTGTGCATTAATGAAATAATCCTCAATGTGCTGAGCACCTATTAAGTGCCAGGCTCTGTTCTAACAACATGGTAGAGAACCTGCCCTCCTGCAGCTTACATTTTAGTGGGGGAGGCAGACAATAAACCAATCAACAAGCACTTTAAAACATGTCAGACAGTGGCAAATGCTATGAAAAAAATAAAGCTGGGATGGGATTGGAGTGTCAAAGAGTTATCGGTTTTACGTAGGGTAGTTGGGGAAAGCTGCTCTAAGGAGGTAATATTTGAGCATCAATCATGGCACTATCTGGAAAAAGATCATTCCAGGCAAAGGCACAAGTGTGCAAAGACCCCTAAGGCAGGAATAGGCTTGGAGCGACTGAGGAACAGCAAAAAAAGGCCAAGGTGACTAGAATAGAGTGAGTGACTCAGAAGTTCTTAGAAGTGTACACCTGACTCTGTTGAAGGCAACACAATTTTAAGCCACCAAGAACTTGAGGTAGTCCTTCTACCTGTCATACAATGACATATCACCTTCCTACAGAATATTCTTCTCCAAGGGATTCAGGGGAATGCCAAAATGTTTCCCATTTGACAGTCACTCTGAGAGACTCATATGAATACTTTTATCTTTGGAAGCCAGTGTCCTGACTCTGAAAAATTAGAATACAAGGGTAGACATGTCATAAATTCTCCAATATGATGATATGCCCACCTTCTGCCCCCTAAAAACCACATAATCTGGGGAAAGGAGATCAGAGTGGCTCTGAAGAAATCAGTCACCAACATGATGGCTGAAAACCAGGGTTAGCGTGCTTACCTTGCAATCACTGATGCTGCCGTGCACCTGGTTGAACTCTCGGTTGAAAGTATGGGTGAGAAGTTGCAGGCACTAGGGAAGAGAAAGAAAAGTTCAAACTGAACATACAATTTCAATGGCTAAATGAATGTGTGGCACAAAAGAGGGAAAAGAAAAGCACCGAGACCCACAACAGAGCCTGTGTGTTGCCTAAACAACCGTTAACTAAGCATATAGGCAAGGGAAGTCTGGCATATGCCTAATAAAAACAACAAAATAAGTAGATAAAAAAGCCATTCTCAAGACTACAAAAGTGAATTATTATAAGCCTCAGTTTAGAAAGTGCTGAAGAATGTAATAACATCCCTTTTATTCTCAATTCACCCTGGTACTAAAAGGCATGTTAATCTCTGCAAGTTCTGTATGACATAGCTTCCTAGATAAACTAGAAACACATTCAATTAAAAGAAAGCAAAACAAAAACACAAAACCCTCTCATTTCTCTAGTTGCTTTTCAGTCAGCTGCCCAGAAATCATACACCTGGGAGTCACCCTCAATGCCCCTCTGCCCTCTCCCGCCATATCCACTCAACAAGGAGCGTGGAGTCTACCTTCTGAATGTCTCTTACATGATCCCCCTTGCTCTTCACCTCACATATATCACTGCCTTAAGCTAAAAAACTTTTATTATTTCTCATCCAGATTACTGCAACAAACAGTTCTCCCTGCCTCCGGTCTATCTCCTTCAACACCACTCCAGCCTCTGGACTGCTGCTTCAGATTTTTAGAAAGATTAAAGAAATCTTTCTAAAATACAACACATGTTTAAAGTATTCAGTAGTTCCACATCACTCCCAGGATACAATCTAAACTCTTCAGTATAGCACACAGACCCTTCATGATCTGGCCCTTGCCTATCTCTCCAATTCTACCGCCTAGCCCTCTCCCCCACGAATTTCCCTAACACTAGTCAAGCAGGAGACCACTGGCTGCCCCCTCCCCCTGTGCATCCTTCAAAGGTCAGTTTTCGAGTCACATCCTGTGGGAGGTCTCTCCTCGGGCTCCCACTGCGTTCTATCCACCCCTCTACGACATTCTTGTCACCCACCAGTCTAAGCTTAGTCCCAGTAGTCTATACACTTATTAAAAGTAGGAATTGAGTCGTATTTAATTCTATGTCCACAGTGTTAGCCGAGGCTAACAGAGGCCCTCAAAGAAAGGTGTTGAGAATGAATACACTGAAAGTCTAGCTCACAGAGCCTGATGGCAGGAAAACACTCAACAAAGAGGAAGGGATTCTTACCTTTGTTGCCAGCTCTTTCTCTCGGTCCACTAGGCTTTCAATGTCTGCTGAGTCATAACCACTGCTCTCACTGGGTGTGATGGCACTTTCAAAGGTGGTGGTTGAGATCTGAGAGGAGATGCTGGTGGAAGTGCTGAGGGTCCCACTGCTGAGGCTGGGAGAGAGCGAGTCACTCAGGGATTTGGGGATGCTGTCACCAAGTCGCTCATGCAGTAGCAGGAAGTGCCGGGTTTTCTCCACCTGAGAAGATCAACGCTATTGCCTCAGCAAACACAAACCGCAGTGAGGCCTTAATAAGCAAAACATTATGCCTCCATTGTGATCGAAAACTGAAAAGCCAGGATCATGTGGAGAAGAGGGATGTACAACTGATAATATGGGAATCCTGCCCAAAAGTGCTTGCATTTGAGCACTCCTGCCCTGGGATACCTCATGGAGGAGCTCCAGCTTCTCTAACTCCCACTGATGCTCAAGGATGAGGCTGTCTCCGCGGGGCCGCCAGCCTGCTAGGTTCTCTTCTCCCCGCACATATGCCACTGATGTATCCAAGATTTTCCTCCTCCTCCTTTGCATGCCTAAAACAAGAGGAAGTAATTTCTTTTCCAGAGAAAAATCTAATTCCAATTTTAGCTCAAAATGAATTAGTAAGTCATATACATGGCAAGCTAAGATAGTCTGGTCTCAAAATACGTGGGATTTTGTTTATTAATTAAAAATTCATCCCTTTAAAAAAAAAAAAAAAAAATTTGCTGGTCTGACAGAGACTGGAGAAACCCCAAGAATATGGCCCCCGGACACCCTTTTAACTCAGTACTAAAGTCATTCCCGACGTTCACTCTTCAGCCAAAGACTAGACAGATCTATAGGGCAAACAATAACACATGTGAGGAACATGTTTTGTAATTCAATCATGTACACAAGACTAAATAGGCACACCAGCCCAAAAGCAAAGATGAGAAGCCAGGAAGGGACAGGAAAACTGGACAAATGGAAATAAGAAACCCAGGGTGGAGAAGGGGACAGTGCTGACACACCGTGGGGTTGACAACCAATGTCACAAAACAATTTGTGTATTAATTGTTTAATGAGAAACTAATTTCTCTGTAAACTTTCACCTAAAGCACAATAAGAAAAAATTATGACATAATACTTACTGATACTGTTTCAATTTAAAAAAAAAATTCATCCCTTTCCCCCAATTCTCTGAACTTCTTGAAAAACTGAGTTTTACATTCTTTAATAATTATGAAAACTTCAGTGCAACTTGAGAAAATGCTTATGGTATTATGTTAGATGAAAATATACATAAATTAAATATTCTGTACACTATGATTTGAAATAGATAAAAATACACCCATATGAAACCAGTAGGAAAGAAATACACACGTACACACAGTAGTTCAGTTAGGATGGTAGATTACAGCTGGCTTTTGCTTCTTCATTTCCCATTTATTTTTTTAAATGTTATACTGCTTACATATAAAACGTATGAATTTATGTGAATTTAAAAATCCCTCAAGGAACTATCTGGACAATATAATTAGCTGCTACTGGGACTTGGATTCATATTCAAAGTCTTCTTTTTTATTTAAATCTTACCTGTGGGAACCTGACCTCTTTTCCATGTGTGTTTCCTAAAATGACTCAAACTCATATTAATCAAATGTTTAAAAAAAAAAATCCATATTTTTACTCATGTTCTACAAGCACAGAAATATAAAATGCTGCTAAAATCCACAGCGCTAGAAGAACAAAAACAGTCCAAATAGAGATTAAAAAGGTCACAGAACAACTCCAACTTAATAATTTGTCTTTCTGCAGCACTAGAGGTTCAAATTCTAGTTTCACAGCACCTGTGAAGTTATACTGCCAAGTTATCTTTGGGGCGAAGATGAGGAGGGAAATGCTTATGAAATTTTCTAAGACAATTAATTCTAATTCACTCAAATTTTTAATAATATTCCACAGCCCAGCAATACTTGTTCAATATAATTTTTATACCTCTATTATAGTCATAATCCAAACAATATTGCAACTCTGAAAAAGGTAGCTCCCACCATCACTACCACTAAAACACTAGCTCATGAAATATACATGGTTTCTAAAAGATTTTGTATCTATCCTTAATGGGCAGACTCTCCAATTTTTTGACGCAATATACCCCAAACATATGCAATGGTAATTCTCACCTCTTGGATCCCTAAGAGCTTACCTGGACTACCCGTGTCTGCCATTTTGCATAAACTGAGTTCATAAATTCCAGTGACTCGATTGCTATTTGAAGAAAAAAAACAAACAATTATTTAATTTCTTACGGCACTAAAACAGGAAAATCTCAATTCCCTGTACCTAAAACACTGTCTCCTCTGCAGGGTCTGTGATCCACCTTCAATATAACTATAGACATTTCTTATAAGTCACTGTTCCTTTCCTATTCTGAACTTAATAAGTATATCTTCTAGAAGGAGGCAGTTTTCATCTCAATCTTTAGAACATTCCTATTTCAATAGGATGAATAAAATAGAATGAAAGCTAGGAACTTTATAACACAAATGCGAAAACTACACATCTGCCTTTTCTTACCGTAAGACAGAAGGTATGAGGGAAAGAAAGTCTAGACTATGATAAAATGACATACAGCAAATTCTGGGGGTGGTGTGAGTTAACAGGAAAGGGTACTTAAGAATCTTTGATTGTACAGTAATATGTATTTTATTTTTTTAAGGTAGGTGGTGATGCACAGGTATTCACTGTATTATTCTTGATATATTTTTATATACCTTAAATATGGATAATAAATCTTAAAAAGAAGAAAATATCAATGGTAATCTGTTAAAGATAATAATAATGACATGTAAAAGAACATTCTGTTCCTGCAAAATTACTTTGGCAATGTTCACAATGTAATATTCTTTCCTTTATTCATTAATTCATCCACCCATCAACATTTTATTAAATCCCAACATACAAGTCACTGTACTCCAGGTGTCAGTTACCAAAATGATTTATAGATAGTAAACTAATCATGAAACAGCAAGCCAGGATACCTGGAGGGCTGCTGATTCTATACTGGGAAAACAAATTGGAAACTAAACTTGTCTCAAACACTTACGAGTCTGGGGACTTTGAGTAGCCACTGCCAAAGAGGCTGCGCAGAGAGCGTGGCGGTGAGATCTTGGCATCTCGGGAGTAGAAGACCATGCAGACGTCCTTGGTAATGACGGCTGGCTGAATGCAGTGATCCAGCTGCAAGCAGACAGGAATAAACCCAATGAACAGGCAGGCAGAGTACATGTGATCAAGCCTTGCACTGCCATATTTGGAAAGCTCATTTGAGATATGGGGGCTGGAGGACTTCAGATCTACCGATTATTTCAAGAGCAACTCCAAGAATAATTATGTGCAAGGCTAGGTGGTATTCCTTGCAGATATGTTTATTTTTCTCAATATTTACTGAGTACACCCACTTGTCACTTACTGACACCGTTAGGTTCCAAAGACTAGGTCATTATGCAAAATTTGGCATTATGTGAAAATGAAGGATGACCACATCAGATCACAAAATGGAGGATGACTACATCATTACACAGTGGTCAAATTACATCATTACATAATTACATAACTGCCAAATTACATCATTACATAATTGCCAAACCACTGAGAATCATGGCCCATGACCTTAACCATCACAGCCAGTGTTACTTTTGCCTTGCACCTCGGCATTTGTTACTACCAGATATATGTTGTTAATGCACCAAACAGTCGGATAGTAGATTTTTTACTATTGTCGTAAATGTGAACTGTTGGATAACAAGACAGTCAATAAGCAAGGAGTAAGTGTATTTATTATATGCCAAATACTGTTCTAAACTCTTTTATATGACCTCTTAACAGCCTTCTAAGGTAAATGCTATTAACCACCCCTTTTAACAGATGAGGAAACTGAGACACAGAGAGATGAAGTAACTTGTCTAAGGACACACTGGCAGTAAGTGGCAGCATAAGGATTTGAACGCAGACAGGCTAGTTCCATGGTTTGTGCTATTAACCACTACTAGCCTCTGTCCACAACTACAAAAATGAAAGGTGACACAGTCTTAAAAAATCATACATTCTTTGAAAAACAGTGATTAGGCTACAAAAGCTGAAGCTATAATGAAAGTCATGTGACTCAACGAAATAGAGAATAGAACAGATCTACTAGAATCAGAACAGTCAGCAAAGTACAATAAAAGTGACTGAAGGATGTGGAAGAAGAGGACAACACAAGTCAAATATCCCTGACCATTTGCCCTCTGATCAGGGCTCACCATTTTGTAGCAACTGAATCCCTGAGGCTCCTCACCTCTAGGTAGGCCGACAAGGTCATGTAGATCTTTTCTCCATAAGGTGTCACTCGGTTGAGGAGGAGGGAGTTATGTAGGGAGCTGTCCCACACGGCCTCAAAACGGTAGAAGGTCCTAAGGTCAGAAAGACAAGATGGAGTCATCCAAAAGAAGGTGAAGTTACCTTAGTCCAGGTATTATCACTGCCAGTAATGACAGACTCTTAAACACAAACATTTTAAATTTATCAAATTCTAATAACAGAGAACCTTATCTCCCAGAAGGAAAAGATAGGTCCCCACTTTCTCCTGACCTCACCATCATCAAGGAGCACTTAGCTGTGCTAACTTTTGACAATTCTGCCTCAGCCTATAAAAATAAAAATAGTGAGATTAATCAAAGGGTTTAAGATGAAAGGGATAAATGAGTATGGACAGAAACTAAAAGAAGAAAGACTAAGTAAGCTCTCCTGTCAGTCAGTAAGGGAGCAGGAAGCAAATGCTTTAGTAATTTGTAAGCTTCAGTGTTCACATTACAAGAAATCTAAATGCCATAAAATCTAGTTCTGTGGAGCCTCAGAAAAGTCACTAACATATCTGGGAGGATCAATGGTGGAAGCAGGTAGAACAATTAAAGTATAGAGAGCCTTGTTTTAAATAAAAGAACAAGTGGTTATTCAGAATGATTTTTAAACACCAGAGCCAGACAATCCTACCATTTGTTAGTTTTCTAAAATTCCATTTGAAAATAAATATTACATTTAAATAACAACTAGAAGCTTAATTTAATAGACACTCACAAATTCTTTTTATAAGTTGTTCTGGTATCTCTTTTTCCTACTGGTAAAAGACCACAATCCCTAGTTGACATACCTTCCAGTTCCTGAAGTCTCATCTGAATTACTGAACTGAGTTCAACAGCAGCATTATACAGATCAGCTCCAGCTCTGCCCCACATTTCCCCTCTCAGATCCCTTCTCACTGTTGGGAAGACACCGCAGACACCCCGGCAGAGTGGATTTTCCATCACCACTAGCTCTCCACTTGATTCAACTAGAAAGAGTTTCTGCATACTTTGTTCCCTGCTCAGTACATTCCTCCTTACTCCTTCCAAATTGGTAACCTCACTATTGCTGCCTTTTCTTCATTTTCCTATGACAAATAGCTGGCATATCCTCTCTTTCAACTCATTCCCATGTTTCTCCCACCAGAAACTACCACAGAAAAAAATAATCAATTTCTAAAAATGAACTCCTTGACCACAGTTCATCTTCCAAGTGCTAGTGTGTGAAGCCTGGTCATTTCCTTTTGTAGGTGCTTCTAGATCTAGGTCTAGCTTTAGAGGCAGCAAGTATGGGTAAAGAAAACTCTCTATAAAGACACCAAAGGAAGAGAGACAACTAACAAGACAAAGACTGAGCAGTCAAGAGGCCCAAAGAACGACTGTAATGCAGGACAACTGAAGCCTGTCCACAACTCCTGGGAACCCATCTCCCCGGAGGGAGGACATTTATTACTTCAGTGATGCTTGGTACAAATTCTTATCACAGCTGCCTGTAACATGTAATTCATTAAGTTCCAAACCATCACTTAGCACCTCTTCATTATACTACTTGGTTTCACGATTCTGGCTCTTTCAAATGAAGCAAATGTTTTTTGAATTTGTGTAAGAATGTCCCTTCACATTTCTGTTTTCAGGTTAAATTTTCACACTGATGTCAAAGAGAAAATTGCATTGGTAGAAACTTGGCCTACATAAAGGAAGATGACATGAATTTTTGATTTCACTAAAATGTTCCTATATTGTGAAAAAAAATGTTTTTAGTTGCTGTAGCACGTTCTTTTAGAATACTCTCAAAAGGTGGCAACTCTTGAGACGTGGTTTTAAGAAACAGAACTAAAACTGGTGATAAATGTCAACTGACTCAAGTTTGGCAACAGAATTTAGGGTTAAAAACAGGGCTGAGTCCTGTATGGCTCCTTAGGTGGTTAGACAATGATTCCAAATGGATTTCTCAAGATGTTCTGAATGACAGCAGCAACAGCAGAGAAACAGGTTTCAAGGACAACCTTGTAGGATATATTCCCTTGAATTTGTTAATTCTGAAAAATTTAAAAAACTTCTTACATTAACAGTCATATCTGATGAACCTTCTAAAGAGAGTTCATTAGGAGAACCTCTGAAATGTGGTCTGAATGAAGTCCAGATAAAATATAAACTCACTGTATCAATGATACCAGTCAACAGTCAAGCTAATTTTACTAACCGTATGCATTTTTTAACATTTTAAACTATATGTCATGTGTCACTTTCTTCAGTTTTGTTTCCTGAATCAGATGAGGAGAGATGGGAAAAAACTTCCTTCATTCACAAGCAGGATTTTTTTTTTCCTATTCTGGAAGAAGAAAGTACAACAAAATCATCCCTGACAGCACAAAGAGAACTCTTTCAAAAATAAAATGTTTCTCACACACTCAGCTACCCAAATAACTAAATTGATCTCTACTACTGCACAGCACAGGACAGAACAAAGTAAAAAGTAAACAATTACTCAAAGCTGCGGCCAAAAAATCTTTGAAGCTTTTGGCAGAGAGAGGACAAAGAGAAGAACAGAAAACAAAGCCTGAGATATCACATGAAATGAAGGGAAAAACATTCTACTTTGTAATGTAGACGAGGAAAACTTGGAGGGGTGGGAAGGCAGACGAATAAAATGTGCAAGTTTAGTAAATGGAATGAGAAAATAATTCAGAACTCTATAAATCATTTAAGAAGCTAAATGCTAAATTGTACATACATCAGAAAGACCCAGGGCACAAAGGAGAAGTGTCTTATGGTAACACAATAAGCTATTGCTCTATCCTAGGTATAGCTTAGGTTTGCACAGGGAAAAAGCACTAAGTTAAAATGGCAATCAAAGCAACATAAGACATAAAGCAGTCTGATAAACTAGAATCTTTATGTGCAAAAAAGCAAACAGAAAATACCTAGGAATATCCTTATCAAGAAAGAGCCTGCAAAAACACACAAAAGGCTTTTGTTAATGCAGAAAAATTAAAAAAAAAAAAAAAAAAGGAAGAAAAAGAAAAGCAGAAGAGGAACATATAAAAAAGACAAATTTGTTGATAAGCAAAGTGAATTCAAAGGGACAGTTAAAAAACAGAGAATTCCACTGGCAGTTTGATACAGGGCATACAATGGCATATGGGTCCCTCTCTCCAGACAATCAATTAAGGAAAATGCTGGGCATAGAAGGGACTGTGGAGACCATCTATAACATTCCTTTTAGAAGTGACACAGTATTGGGAATGGTAGGAAGTTGCTGTGGAGTTAAGGGAAAACCAAGTCAGTTGTTAACATTAATATAAACCTGGGAAGAAAAGGAGTACTGGCCCTTGTCAATTATACTCCACTATCAAAGGAAGACCCTCAATAAGATGGACTGACACTATGGCTGCAACAATGGGCTCAAGCATAACAACAACTGTGAGGATGGAGCAGGATCAGGCAGTGTTTCGTTCTGTTATACACAGGGTCACTATGAGTCGGAACTGACTCGATGGCACACAACAACAACAGTCTACCAGAAAAAACCTCTAATACACATTTATTGTTGTTGTGTGCCATGAAGTTGATTCTGACTCATAGCAACCCTATAGGACAGACAGAACTGCCCCATAGGGTTTCCAAGGAACAGCTGGTGGATTCGAACTGCTGACCTTCTGGTTATCAGCCTGAGCTCTTAACCACTTTGCCACCAGGACTCCAGGAATATACATATATAATACACCCGAACTGGAGTTCTGTGAGTTCAACTTTTACCATTAAACCTTACACAAATAGAAGTTCTCTTAACCAAACTCCATTTAGCAACTTACCACACTAACCTGTGCTCTCCATACCCCTAGAAAAGATAAGCACTGATGTCCGTTTCTCATGAAATACTCTAAACAAGGGGACTGGTGGACTATTTTCTCAGATGCCCAGACTATTCACTCCAAAGAGTTGAGATGCGTGCATATCAAGTGACAGTTGTATCTGGTCCCAGACCTGTTTATGCCAGCTGTACTTGTTTTTATAATTATCTAATTAAAAATTAGGAAAACTGATGAAACATGAGGACAAAAAGAATGTTTCTGTGGAAATTAAATTGAATGTTTTCAAAAGATTTAATAATGGTGAGTTGTTTAAAAAACAGCTGTTAAATTAAGATTGGGTGACAAATGTAAAAGAAAGGGGAAGATTATAAAAAGCTTAAAGATCTTTGCACTTAGATTTTCTTCATAGGTTTCTAGATCTTGCTCCACCAAACTGAAAATCGTAGATGGGAAACTATGGGTGTGGTTTTGCAAGTAAAACAATTGGAAGTCCAATAAATAAGCCTATAATTAAAGGCCTTGCCCTTACACAAGAGCTTGACAAATCAATATACATTTATATAGTCTAACTTAAAACAAAAATGTTTGTTAAGGTGTGCATCTTTTTATTATTCTAGACCTTAGCTAATTTTTTTGATTAACCAACAATAAGCTTCTACTATAAAAGATAACAAATTCATCATCTCCTACAGCACTTAATCTGCAGCTGGGTATGAATCAAAGGGCCTTTGAAGGTTACGCTAATGTGGGCAAAGTTAGCAAAATCAGCACTTCAACCAAACATCATCTTTCCCTGTGTATTTTGCTAAGTACCCTAGAGAAACTTAAGATACATTTCTCATAGCTGCAAAGAAAATGCAGTGGTGAATGCCAGCTGAACACTTGCTATAAATGTCTGGCAGAGGAGAGAGAGTTGGTTAGAGCTATTGCTGACTTCAGAGAAATGACACTGTTTAAGATTCTAACCAAGTATCGTCCAGGGAGGGTCAAAGCCCTCTTCTTTATCTCTGCCACTCCTCCTGCTTCCTGCACATACATACCCTCTCACACTCCTTCCATCTCTCCCCATAGCCCCCTGCCAACTCTTCTTACATGAAAAAAGCAAACACAAGTTTGTTCCGTTTTTTTTTGCTCCTTCCTAGGCAAGATTATGATACAAGGAAACAATGGAAAGCAATTAATTCTGGTCCAAACTTTCCTTTAATTCTGTTTCTGCCCATTGTCTTATTTTTCCTCTGCCTGTTCCCAACATACACTATAAGCAAGTTTTTCAGGAGCAGACAGAAGCACAGGAAAATGCTGTTACGCGAAGGCAGTATTCTAAGCCCACATGAGAAAACACAGCCACTCCTGGTTCCCAGCCCTCATCATGTAAAGAAATTGAGTCTGCATGCACACCTAAACTCCTTTCTGGGCTACGGCCCCAGTCTAAAATGGGAAAGTAGAATGGCTACTTACTTTATGCATTGTCTCTCATCAACCTGATTATAATTGGGAATTTTAAAGCCAATTACTTTAAAATTAAAAATAAAATTAGTTACTTAGAGCAGCCAGTCTTAGAGGAGCTTACATTAATTTATCATCTTTATGCATAAATGAAAATAAAAAGCAAATACTGAGGATAACTGAGCCTATTACTAGCAGCACTAATGACTAAACACAAGAGTCTTCTTTATACCTTGGAGGGCGTGTTTCCAGGATACTCAGGAGTGTGGTAACCTTTCTCCACAGTAACCATGTCACAGGAAAATATTTTAGTCTCAGTAATAATTTATTTGTACTTTTAAACCTTTGAGTAGCATTATGGTGAGCTTTCTTTGTCTGCTTTCTCTTTATCACTGTGTTACAGCCAGGGCTTCAAACCAGTTCGAACCGATTCAGTCATGGCCAACGGAGCGAAATCCAAACAGAACCGAATTGTTACAATTTGGGTGCTCTGGAACGATAACTAGAATGGGAAAAATTACAGGTCAAACCCCTGGAATGGGAGACTCGGAAGAGGCATAGTGAGCACTTTTAGGAGCCTAATGCTTGCGACTGGATTGTTTGCAGGACGGTGTAAAGCAACATACATTCTAAACAGTGTGGTTGGCCATCATCTTCAAGCATGGCACTGCTGTTTCTGACTCTGCTCAAAATCCGATGAGAAAGAGATTTGGTTGCTATGTGACACGTATATTGCCCTTGTTTTCTAAGAGGGAGATTAAATTTCTAGTAAAGCTTCAACCTATTATTTGTCCCATTCTGGTTATCATTCCTGGTCACCCAAATTGTAACAATTCGGGTCTGCTCCATTGTCACTTCCTTGGCCATGGATGAAACAGAAAGAACTGGTTCGAAGCCCTGGTTACAGCTACTCAAACTCTATAAGGGTAACTGGTCATAATTATAAACCTAGCTCCAACTATTTATTTATTTATTTTTGGAGAGCAGGGTGGAAAAGGGAGGAAATAGGGTATTTTGAAGTGAGAAGAGAATGAGTTTCTTCATCTGAACCAGGAGTCACTAGTGAATAGGGAAGCTAATGGTATACCAGTCAACCATATGGGGGCTGGCTCATCACTCTCCTTAGGAGGCCTCACCTGCTAGAGTTGTGGGACGACTTCAGGTACTTGGCAGAGATAATATTTAGGGAGAGGATGGCATCAACTGCAGCTTCATCCACCTCAGGCTTACTCCTAATCCGGCCTAAAATAATGGATTAAAAAAATCAGAATACAGGCACATTTAAAAACAAAACATAAATTCAATAGGCCAAAAAATAGACTTTTAAATCTTGGTGTAACCTCAGGTACTGGAAGGGTTACTTGGTTGACCACAGGGTCTTCCATTCTTCTCCATATTCTGTTCCCCCTTTACTTCCCACATTTAGACAACTGTAAAAGTCTATTGATTCTTTGTTCAAAGAGTTCCTCGTATTCATTCCAACTTTTATTTTTAATATCACTGCCCTGCTCACAAAGGCATCATGACCTCCAATCTGGAACATGGCAATAGTCATTTAACTGGTCTTTCTGCTGTTTACATCTCTCTCTTTCCAATCCATCCTATGCTCACCTTATATAAAGCACTTAATCCACAGATTTCATTATACCACTTTCTTGCTCAAAATCCTACAACTCTGTTTTCAGATTAACACTAGAGGATGCAACATGGCATAGAGGTTAGACGCACAGTCTCTAGAGCTGAAATGCCTGGGTTCAAATCTCAGCTCCAACACTTACTAGCTGTGAGACCTTGGGCATAATGCTCAACCTCTGTGAGTTTCAGTTTTCTCATATGTGAAGTGGGAATAACAATTCTTCTTTTATATGACTGTTATGAAGATCAAATAATATTTTTAGAGCATTTAGAAAAGCACCTGGTGCACAGTAAGCACCAAAGAAGTGTTTAAGTAAGTAAATAAACTGCAGGGTGTCTTCAGAGAAGCCTTAGTAACTGCTGCCTTCACTCCTATGCCACCCTTTCTGATCAGAAAGCATCTCTTCTGTTTCATATATTAGTGTTCCATGTGAAGGAACCCTGGTAGTGCAGTGGCTAATCACTCAGCTGCTAACGGAAACGTTGGCAGTTTGAATCCACCAGCGGCTCCATGGAAGAAGGATGTGGCAGTCTGTTTCTGTAAAGATTACAGCCTCGGAAACTCCATGGGACAGTTCTATTCCATCCTATAGGGTTGCTATGAGTCGGCACTGATTTGACGACAGTGAGTTTGGTGGAGTTTGGTTCTATGTGAAAATTAATTTTAAAAAACTCTGAAAACTACTGACCCAGATAGAGTATAATCTCCCTTCCAGGGATTCTTAATCTGTTCCACAGATCCCTAAGATGTCTGTGGATAGAATCCAGGGGGTCCATGAACTTGGACGGGGAAGACAAGTAATTACATCTTTATTTTCACGAACCTCTAACTGAAATTTGGCATTTCCTTCATTATGAAGGGAGGCAACAAACCACAGTAGAATTATTAACATCTGTGACCCTGTCCCCAGTAGAAATCACAGATGTATTCATATAATATTAGTATAAAATCTTTGCATTCATCACCACTTTGAAATTATAATAATTATACCCACTGCTATATCGTTATTTATGAACCAATAAAGAAGTGCTTATATGAGAAATTTGTTTAATATTTTAACAATTATATTTCAATATTATAGTTTCCTTAATACTGTAGTATTAAGTATTTTCTACATTGAAAAACCTGATTCAGAGAAAGGGTATATAGGCTTCATCACTGCCAAAGGGGTCCATGGCACAAAAAAGGTTAGGAATCCCTGCTTTAGACCATCATTCGAAAGCTTATACTGTTTAGCTGACTGTTGCTGTCACTATGCCTTAATTTCTCCACTCTGTTCATGGGTTCCTAGCCATTTACATGTTAGACACAGTCCTGACTCTTCTGCTCAAAACGATTTCATGTCTGGAAAGCACCAAAGCTAAACAAAACAAACAAAAACTCTCTAATTTCTCCTGAATCTAATTCAAATCCTTTCCACAAAGCTAATCCAGTCCTGCTTGGTCATTTTCTTTGTTATTCTCTTAGCACAGGCCTTATTCACTTGTCCTTATTTTGGTACTTGTGATGGTTAATTTTATGTGTCGACTAGGCTAGGCTATGATTCTCACTGGTTTAGCCGGGTACTGGACTGGTTGCTGTTGTGTTGTGTAGTGCAGTGTAACGTAATGCAGTGTACTGTAACATAATGTAGTAGAGTGAAATGTAATTCAGTGTTAGTGTAGTGTAATGACCTTCCATGATGTGATCTGATGTGATCAAACAATTAATTTAAAGGGGAGTTTCCTTAGGGTTGTGGTTTGCCTCCAGAATATAAATGGATATTCTGGCAGAGTTCTCTCTGTTTTCGCCCTGCACTCTTCTCATTGCCTGACCTGTGGATCTTGGGATGTAAACTTGCAAAAGTCTCTGGCCTGCTGCCTACCTAAAGATTTTGGACCTGCCAGCTCCACAACTGCATAAGCCAATCCTCTGAAGTAAATTTCTCTCTCTCTCTCTATATATATATATATCTCACTGGCTTTTTTGCTCCTCTAGAGAATCCAAACTAAGACAGTACTTAATCATTCAGTGTAACATCATCAAATGGTTCTGCACATATATGCTATCTCCCCAACTAAGCTGTAAGTACACAATGAGCAGCAACTTCTTTTATGTTTTCTCACAACCTCTAGCACAGGGCCATATCCACCTAGCTGAATAAAGCAATGGTTGGTTGAATAACATAACTACTAATGATGGGAGCTGGGGCAGGGGGGAAACCCCGGCATTTTCAAACACAAAGTCCCTATATTCTCCACAGTCCATGTTCTCCAGTACAGTCTTCCATGCACTTCTAGTGCTCCAAAGAGAGAAAAACGACATCTCTAAAAAGCCTGGCTCCTTCACCAGCCGATGGAAAGTACTCACCGACCACCAGCTCACGAACATCTTTCCAATGGAGCTCACTTCCCTTCTCATGAATGATGGTCACTGTGATCCTTCGCTGGATGCCCTAGGTAATGGAGCAGGGTTGCAATTTAGCTGTGGCAATCTACTATTTCCTCTTGTTTGTTGTGTTTGGAATTTTCTGGTGTGGGGACTGGGGAATGGGCAGGAAAGAAAAGTATGGAGACAGAGGGGAAATACTGTCCACCCTGTTATTCTAAACAAAGGGAAATGAGGCAGGGACTGAGGACTAGCCAAGTTCTGACATGGCTTTAAGATCAGACGCCCAGGCTGTATGTTCCAGAGTGTGGGGCCCCAGCTCCCATGCCTACCTGGATAAGCTTTTTTAATCTACTTCTGATTTACCAAAGGGGGATCTACATTTCACCACCACAGTTTTAGTCCACTGAAATCTTCACCTATCACCATTAAGAACGTCTGGCTGTGAAAGCACAGAGCTTCCAAATATCATGAAATAATAATTGTATAAAATGGCATGGAAGCCAGATAAATCATAGCAGCTGAATGAGACAAACTTTCTCAAAATATCTCTTCTAAAACATTTACATATGAAATAATATATAAGGACATATATAAGCAATGGTCTGAGGGAGAAACATCGAAACACAAAACACACACACACAAAACGACAAGCCAATAGGACAATGCCCACCCCGCTCCACCTCTGCAATGGAGATGAAAAGCATGAAAGGACAGGATACATCCAGACAAGCGTCTAACAGTGACAAACTCACGAGAGCAGCGAGAACTGTGAGAGAAACAGAAAGAGCTACATTTCTTATTCTAAACTCTTTTTGGTATTCCCTTCTAGGCCCTCTTTTGCTTCCTCATTAATACCTGGTGAAGCAAAAATGTCCCCTGGCAGGGCAGGCCTGAGGTATGGTCAACCACAGCTGGGATATACCTATAAAAATAAAAATGCACAACAAGTTATTAGACAGAATGCTTATTGCTAACTAAGTTCTACTTCATCTGCAAGGTCTTCCCTCGTTGCTCTAGCTCCTGGTGGTCTTTCCTTTTCTAAACTCTGATTCCATGTCTTTTTTTTTTTTTTTTTAACTAATTTTTGCATTTAATCAAATGGTTATTTGCATCAATTAAACCTTTTCACATATCTATGTCTTAGCATCCTTACGAGACTGAAGTGCTCAAGAGACACTAACATCTTTTGGCTTCATCCCAGCTGCTTGCATCATAGGTATTCAATAAATAATGTGTAAGTGCAATGGCAACTGACAGGAGAGAAAAAACAGATAATTTCAGATTCTAGACACTTTTTAAGAATCCAGAAAGCAATTAACTCAGTAGCAACTATTACTGTAACTACTTGCTCATAATGCAAGTTGTAATCACATTATAGGTTTGTCTATGGAAAGTCAAATTCCTCAATGCAATGTCAGTACTGACAACTAGATATAGGAATGATAGAGCCATACCTACCTAACACAGTGTCCTACAAATAGTGAGAACTCAATAAATGTATCCTGTTGAGGATCATTACAGTAACATTTATCCCCTACATTATCCTTTACAGTAACTTATACAGCCCCTTGCCTCTGTTTCAGGAGTAGGATCTCTCTCTCTTCTTTTTTTCCAAAAGTATTTTAGAGACAAATATAAACAATAATTGGATTCATTACTTACCCTAACACAGCTCATATAGAGTGAGCTGATGTTGATCATTCTGATCTAGGAAAGTGGTTCTCAACCAGGGGCGATTTTGCTCTCTAGGGGACATCTGGCATTATTTGCAGACATTTTTTGTTGTCACCACTAGGGGGAGGTGCTACTGGCATTACATGGATAGAGACCAGGGATGCTGCTAAACATCTTACAGTGCACAAAACAGCCCCCCACAAAATAGTGCCGAGGCGGGGAAACCCTGACCTAGGGAAACATTCTGCACCCTAGCCCCTCACTGAGATTATTAATATAAGTCTTGATGACATTATGTGAAATATGCTTCTGCCTCCACTTTTAACAGCTTTGTTGCTAATAAAACCCACTATGTATATTGTCTTTCCTACATAAAAGGGTATGTCTCCATGCTTATTGCTAACTAAGTTCCATTGCTATGATGTCACTGCTTCTAATAAGGCAAATTATTATACTGAATAGTCCTCCAACAAACATTTATCTCAAAGAATAATGCCAAGACCACCAAAATTCAATTCAAAACTGGAATTTGACGGTGACAGTGATTCAAGAACCTGAATACAAGGAAACTCAAAATCTCATTTCCTAATTTTGAAACACTTTGCCTTACTTAAAAATTTAGGGAGTTGGACTTACTCTCCGGTAGGCTCCAGTTCACTGATCTCAAACCAAACCAGAAGGTCATATTTGCTCATGCTCTGGCCAAGGCTGGTTTTGCTCATGGTGTTTAACTTGGTGGCTGGAACTTTAAAAAATTTTTTAGAAAATGTCAAAATCTGGTCCAAGCCTACTTAGCAAAATTATAAGCTTCTCTATGTCAGTCTTCAAGGACACACATGGGAAAGGCAGCAAGAGTTAGGGGATAGATTTAAATGCAGAGAACCCAGAGAAACTTCAACATCAACTACGTTAGTAACCTCTAAATTCAAAGAACATGGAAAATGGAGTCAACAGCTTCCTCCCCGTCAACAAACTGTCTCCAAAAATGAGAAGACAGGTTTAGTGCAGAATAAATGTGCTCACAAAGCCATTAAAAACGTTCCATTTCTAGAATCTCACATTTTGTGGCATGCAGATGATGAGTAACAGATGATGCTTGGAAAGCACTTGGGGTAGTCAATAACACCTGGTGTGGTGGAGTACAGACCATCCTCCAACCTGCCTACACATAGCAGTCACCTGGGGATCTTAAAGCTTGCAAAGCCCAGGCCACAACAAACCAATTAAATCACAGTCTCTGGGGTGGGACTCGGGCACCAGTGATTTGTGATGCTCCCCCAGGTGATTCCAGTGTGCAGCCAAGTTTGGGAACCACTGGTCTAATCTGTTTGTAAATATAGGATTCTATCGATGATCTTGTGCTACACATTTTCTTCAGATTTAAATTCTGTATTCTTAACTGTAAGTGATGAAATAAATTAGCCAAAACCCCGGTATTTCCAAGAATTTCAGATTCTTGAAAGACTACATAAGAATCCTAAAGCCTTGCAATATAAAGAGGGTTTTCTGCCCAGAACCTGTGAGCACTGGAGTGAGCATCCAATGACTTGGGATATAATTACTGCTCAACCACTAACTAGCTATGTGTGACTTTAGATAAGTTGCTTAATCTCTGTGAGTCTATCTCCTCATCTATAAAATATGGACGATAGTATTTAGACTCCTATCTCAAAAAGGTATTGCAAAGACACACTTACACAATATGTGTAAAGGGGTTTATGCATTATATAGTAATAATCAAGTGTGTAGCCTATCATTATGATTCACCCCAGCTGAATTCCACGTGAGTTGGTGATGCTAATCCAGAAGAAAACAGGGCTGCTGATTCTGACAATCATGTAACAGCCCAAAAGCAAACCCAGAAGTATTAAAAAAAAAAAAAAAATCTATCAGTAAAAATCTTTAAAATTAAAAATACTATCACAAAGAATCCAGAAGAATAATCCCCTCATCCCCAGGTGATGTGAAAAGAGGCACAAGTAGAGAAGGTGCTTCCTAAAATCTCTCTGAAGGAAATGTGATATAATTTTGATGATGTGCTAAACTCTGGGAGGTTTTGTACCCAGAGAGCCAGGCTTTAGGACAAGCACCTGAAGATGGTTCTACATCTAAGACAGAGCTGATTTAGCTACTAACCATCTCGTTTGGGTACCCTCTCACTTTGGCAGCTGGGAACTGGCATAAAGAGAAAAGGCAGCAACAGGTCAGCCCCATCCTGGAAGGTGGCAACTGCAGAGGACGCAAGCTCGTTGGCGTGCTCAGAAAATGTGTCCAGCACATGCACATTCACATAGCCAGCCATGAGAAACCGAATCAGTTCAATCTTTCTCTCATGGTCTGAAGACAGGATGGAGACAGGAGTAAAGAGAGTGGAGAATGAGCACAGGGTGGGTGGGAATTAGGCAAGTGGGCAATGAGGAAAAAGGATGAAAATAAACAGAAAGAAAAATCAAAACAAGGTAAGTGAACATGCAGAGTAAATATCAAAATGCAAAGACATGCTCAGTCCCTTGAGATATGGGGGAGTTACAGAAAGATTTAAGTACAGGCAGGTATCAAAATCTGCCCCAGGTTTAAGAAGCAAATAAAGACCAAAGGATTGGCAGGGATAGAGCCCTATTCTTTCTTCTAATTCTAAGTCAGGTACCAAGAATTCTAGTCAGAGCTGCTAAGGATATGTAGAAGAGGAGCAGGAATTTGAACATGACTTTCATCTAAAAAGTTATTCAGAGTAAGAGATACATTCACACCAAGAACATCATGCAGACAATGCAGCTCAGACTCACCTGGTTTGGAGAGTGGCATGGGTGGAGGGAAGAACTTTCGAGATGGCTGAGGTGGACTGCAAAGAAAGGAAGACAAAGACGGAAATGACAGCCTGGTGTTGATGTTAATGGCATGTTAAATTCCCTTTAGAAACAAATCTTTTGCATTTTCAACTCTGGCATAATACCGGGTACCAGACATAATCCCACTTAGCCTCAAAGTCCTCCTGTAAATCTTAGCTAACAATGAAATAGAAAAATTTTCTGTGAACACTGACACTCTGCCATCATCATAGCCCTGGCTGTTGATCTCCTCACCGATAAGGATGACGCCACTTGAGCTTACGCTTCATAAATTTCTGAGTCATTTGGAACAACTACACACAATTTTCATTAAAGATCCCTACTACCTCAACTTTCTACCCTATTCAAAGTCTCCTACAAAAAGACGGTATTCGAGGTTACCTGGGCAAAATCCAACTTGCTCTACCTAAAATTAGTGATTAGGTAGCTAGAAAAAAGATGGTGACATTTCTAAAGATGAAACATAAGGTAATATGCAAAACTGTTATTAGTTATCTTAATCCCTCAAAAGATTTCTTCCTTTCCAAAAACTAAATCACAACAACAGAAATCTTTGCTCATTTGGTCCAAACCTGTTAAGCTCCTGTTCCTGCAGGTGAAGGGGGTGCTGCTGATAATGCCCAAAGACTTCAAAAACAATGGGCTTGGTTTTGATGTACTCCACAAATGATTCCGTGACCTCCACTGCAATCTAATACGGAATAAAGGCAAACAAGATTAGGGGAAACATTTATTATAAAGGAAATACATACTTCGTTGCAATCAGAACTTTGGCACTTTTGAGTGCCCTGTATGTGCTAGGTGTTTTACTACACACACCTCCCGTGCCAAAAGACAGGGGCTCCTCTCTAGTTTTCATCCTAAAGGAATTTTACCAATCTTCAACATTCAAGACCCTCTACAATCTGCCTGATGACCTCAGGTCATACACTGACTGTTTGGGCTCAACTGCACGCACCTTTGCTCCTTCCACCTGCTCTCTCCTCGGTGTGCCTGAGGACTGCCCCAGGTTGCAGCCTGCCTGGAAGACCCTTCCCCAACCTCTATACATCTAAGTCATTCCTAGACTTCAAGGCCCACCTCAAATAGTTCAAACCATAAGAAAAACACATATGTGCCAGGTACAATGCCAAGTCCGACACACCTTTTCTTACCTATACTACATCCTTTAAGAAGTTTCCCATCCTTTCTCCACCTAAACATTCCTCCCAACAAAAAAAGTAATGCTAAGCATCTTTGCATTAAAGGCATAACTTTCCCTTCTCTTACTCCCACTGCATTTTATCAATACCTTTCTAATGCCTTTATATCTGGTGTTTATGTATGCATTTTGTTTCCTCTCTCATAATTCTAAGCTTTTCGGGGCATAATCGTCTGTGATTCAACCGTGCATTCCCCAGCAGTTCCTGGCAAAGTACCTGTCAATCAGTATTTATCAGATATACACATGCACATATTTATAAACATAAATAAGAAAATACTGCATTCTGTGTTTGCTTGTGCCATTGTTGGAGATGTCCTTTCCTCTTACTTTACAGACTGGATACGGCTGGCACGAAAATGAAAGACAGGTTCATGTAGTAATGAAGACCCTGGACACTAGAGATCTCTCTGGGTTCAAATCCCATCTCTGCCACTCCTTAACTTTGTAACCTTGAGTTACTTTAAGCTGCTGGGGGCCTCAGTTATCTCAGCTGTAAAATGGGGATTATTATAGTAGATGGTGTAATGGTGAGGATTAAATGAGTCAAGACACAGCAAGCATGCAGAACAGTGATTGGGAAATGCAAACTTTCAACGAATGCTAGCTACTGTGATGATGGTGACTTTTGAACAGACTTGGAGTGAAATTTCCAGTAAGAGACGGGAGTTCTGTTTTCTTACTCCACGTATGAGAGAACTGTAAAGGGCATTAACAGATTATAGTATCAGCTGCAGGGAAAACAGAACTCTGAATTTTAATTTAACTACAAAAGGTATTTTCTATATTTTTCCTACATTATTTGCAACTGAATAATGTAAGTATTTTAGGGTTTAAAGGACAACATGTTAACTTCAACAAAACTCTTGTATTAAACATGCTTGTTTTTCTAGGGAGGAAACATTAAAAACAACTCATTACATTCAAACTGATGGAAGATTCTACAGGCTGACCAACCCCACACTAGTCACTGGGCCCATTGTAGTTTAGATAAAGGCAGCCGGCTGAGTGGGGATTACCTCACTGCTCTGGCCACTCCCTCTATTGTCTATTCTCTCCACACAGCCTCCCTCGAAGAGCCGCTCCCCTCAGATTATCTTCTGAAAGGATCCCAAACAAGCCTGCGCTTCCTCACACCAGCCACTTCAAGGTACCACAAACTCTCACAAACCCTCAATGCATTTGGCAAAAATGTGTATATCACTTACATTCTGCACATGATAAAAGCCCAGAGGACTTCCTCTGCCGTTGTTTTTGAGGGGTTCGGTGGAGAATGCTTCGTCATGACGATGTAAAAAGCTTAATAAATAAGTCATGTGAATTATGCATTAAACAGTTTCATCATGATCTCCATTCTTTAATTTTTTTTTTTATTGTACTTTAGATGAAAGTTTAGAAAGCGAATGAGTTTCTCATCAAACAATTAGTACACATATTGTTTTGTGATACTGGTTGCCAAACCCACGATGTATCAACACTCTCCCCTTCTCGACCTCGGGTTCCCCCGTTACCAGCTTTCCTGTCCCTCCTGCCTTCTTGTCCTTGCCCCTGGGCTAGTGTGCCCATTTAGACTTGTTTTGTTTTATGGGCCTGTCTAATCTTTGGCTGACGGGTGAACCTCACATGATCTCCGTTTTTAGAGTCCAACTTGGATCCTACGGACAGAAGCATCCTCCTTATGCAGATTCTTTAACTGAGCTAAGTGTTTTTATATATCCAGCCCTGGTTGTGCAGTGGTTAAAGTGCTCGGTTACTAACCGATAAGTTGGCGGTTCAAACCCACCAGCTACTCCTCAGGTGAAAGATGTGGCGGTCTGTTTCCATGAAGATTTACAGTCTTGGAAACCCTAGGGGGCAGTTCTAATCTGTCCTATAGGGTCACTAGGAGTCAGATTCAACTTGACGGCAGTGAGTTTGGTTTTTTTTTTTTTTGGTCAAGAACATTTTCTATATCACTGTACATTTTAGGTTTTGTTTCTAAAAATGATTGGTGTTCCTATAGCACTAGGGACTCATTTCTCCAACAGCAATGATTTCACTATTTGTAATAATATTGTTACATGCCCGTTCTCTGGCATAGGGCTTGACACACAGAAGATACTACAGAAATATTTTTTGTAGCAATGGGCTATGTTTATTTATTCTCACAAATAGTAAGATTTTGTTAGTTTGAAATAAAAGTAAGTGGGAAATTACAGAATACCCAACACAAAGATTTACCCCCAGATAGAAATATCCATCAGAAGGACACCCCACCACCACCACCACAAAAAAAAAGAAAAAGAAAATACTCTGGAGAGGGAGGTAAGAGATCAGGATTATGAACTCTTTGTCTTTCAAATGAGTTCACTGAGTTGGAGGACAGTAGCATACTTTCCCCAGGCATTCCGCATCACTGATGCCATGGACCGCGGGCACTATGGCGTTCTGTACCACATGTACCTTCCCTATTTTCTTACTTCTCCTTATCTGTCTCCTTCCCCTCTTCTTACCCCCCACCCCCATAAATTGTACCTGCCAGAGGCACCCCATGGGCATCAGCTGACCTCTGCTAATGCTCTGCTACCGTAAGAGGTACAGATATACTGATTTCACTGGGGACACATGAAATCAATCACACTGCTCTATAGCTGTATCTTCCCTGTAAAGAGTTTATAGTTTATAAAAACCCAAGGCTTTAGGTCCCACACATCATGACCTTTCCTCCAGCTGGAGATGCTGCCTCTCTTTTTTACATTTTAGGAGAAAGGCCAATATACTGTTATTATCACTTCTGACATCAGTTACCAAATAGGTTTTTCCTATAAAATATATCATAAAATGATTCATCTAGCCAACTCCACCCTACCCTAACTTTGGAACTGATAGCAAAAACATCTTAAATGCATGAAATCAATACTGATGGGTAATACTTCAACAATAATTACAAGTTACAGCAAATTAGTGACTTACAATATAGTAATCACATTTAATTCAGGACTTCGTTAAAACCTTTAAACAAAAGCAATGCATTATAAACTGCATTAGGATCCCTAGGGAGGCCAAGATACATTTTGGTGGCACTAGTGGCAAACTGGGCTTCAGGTAGGGGATAGGTCAGACTTCATTCTCTTGTACTGCCCTCCTTTCCAGGTCATGAAAGGATATATTGATCTTCGGAGGCAATAAAACTTAAGATTCTCAAAAAAGTATTTTTCCAAGGTGTCTCAGAAGACAGGCCTGGTGATGTGCTTCCAAAAGGTCACAGTCTTGAAAACCCTATGGAGAAGAGTTCTACTCTGACACACATGGGATCGCTGTAAGTCACAATCAACTTGACGGCCACTAATAACAACAACATTTCAAAGGCACCATGAATAAGACATTTCAACAGGAAGAGCTCTAAACAGATTAATTAATAGCCTTCTCGGGATCAGATCCCATCCTGATAGAGGGGGATAGTCCACACAGAACCCCTCTGGCAGGATGGGGGGCACCTCCTCTCCCACATTAAACCCTGTTTCATTCCATCATTGGCTTCCTGCTCTTATTCCAAACTTGAATGAAGAAAGTGGTTTACTTCGGAGGCTGGTAGTCTTTTACCTCTGGGGAGTGCTAATATCTCACAAATGTCAAACACTGTACAGTACACAAAGGACCTGAACATATGTCATCTCGGTTAATAGGTAGGTAGGCAGAGCACAGGGACGGCTTACTTGAACTGGCAGAAGATGTCTGCATACTCTGGGAGGATTCCACTGGCCTGCAACACCGTTACACGGAAAGTGAAGGCACTGCCCAGTTTCAGGTGGTTGCCAATCTCTTCAGAAAACCCTTCCATGACCATCTTACCATCCAGCAAAGTGCTTGACTTCAAATCTAAAGAGGGTCAAATGAACACACATATGGTTCCAATAATCTGCATATGACCTTGCAAAGAGAAGGAAGTTGGGCATTCTTTCCATGCCTAGCTGATGAAAGTGACTACCTCCTTTCACAAGGGTCAATATTTTCCCCTCTGTGAAAATGTCCACACTCAAAGTACATTCCGTCTACGTACCCAAGTCATTCATTAGATTGATTTCTTCTGGGGGAGTGATGACCTCAGAACTCTGACCTTGTCCTTCCACAATTCTCAGCTCCTCCAAGGAAAGACCAGAACGAGTCATTGCAACTGAAGAAAAATCACTCTGAAAACAAGGCAGGGGTAGACATAGGATAAAGTAGTATAACAACATATTTGCCTCAGTTTCCTCATTTCTGTTTATCTGCCCAACAAATAATAGTGACTGGAAAATTATGTGGATTAAAAATTGTCTGAGAAAAAGTGACACAGTAAAATATAAATGTTGGTCTTCATCTTTTATAATGCTGAGTCTTTACCTTTGTGATTGTTAGGTATGACCCATATTCTATTAAACAACTCTGTGGTTACCAGTACACTGTATTTCTTAGTTCTACGTAGGGAATCGTCTCCAATGCTGACAATTCTCCTTATAAGCCCATCTACTTCCTTCTCCTTCCACAAGGTTTTTCTTTTTCCTGGAAAGTTTCTCACCTGATTAAAGTACTCGTTATCAAAAGATATCTTAGCTGTTCCTGACTGTCGGATTCCAGAGCCATAATCAGGAGCTTCTTCATCCGCTAAATAGAAAAAATGTAAGGAAGGACTGAATGAGACTACATACATGTGGGGAGGAGGGGAATAACCATTATTGTATTATAAAATAAATAGGAAAGTGTTGGAGCTGTACTGTTTGAGGACTTTAACAAGAGATGAGACACTAAAGAATAAGATCTTTTGCATAAGAAAGAATGAATGAGACCTAAGTAGTAAAATGACATGGTGCTACTTCTAACTCCACTCATTAAAATTTAACAACCTCCTTTGCCCAAATGAGACTGGTTAGTAAAGAATCAGTTTTATTCTTTCTTTCTTTATTGTGCTTTAAGTTTACAGCTCTAGTTTCTCATACAAAAATTTATGTACACATTGTTACGTGACCCTAGTTGCTCTCTCTACAATGTGACAGCACACTCCTCCTTTCTACCCTGGATTTCTCGTGTCCATTCAACCAGTTCCTGTCCCTTTCTGCCTTCTCATCTTGCCTCTGGACAGGAGCTGCCCATTTAGTCTCATGTATCTACTGGAACTAAGAAGCACACTCTTCACGAGTATCATTTTATGTCTCATAGTCCAGTCTATTCTTTGTCTAAAGAGTTGGCTTCGGGAATGGTTTCAGCTCTGGGTTAACAGAGAGTCTGGGGGCGACGTCTTCCGGAGTCCCTCCAGTCTCGGTAAGACCATTAACTTCTCGTCTTTTTACCAGAATTTGAGTTCTGTACCCTACTTTTCTCCTGCTCCATCAGGGACTCTCTGTTGTGTCCCCTGTCAGGGCAGTTTTATTCTTGAGGTTGTCCCAATCTCTTATCTAGAAATACTGACCCCTTTCTATCTTGGCAAGATTATATTCAACAATACAAAACAAATGCTTGAAAATACGGCATTGCACTTGTGGAGGGGACTTCCATAAACTCAATGTTGGTGATTGTCACGTTTCCATGGGGAAAAGGCTGGAAGGTCACTAACACAGCACAGAATTTGGAAATTAAGACAGGAAAATGGCAGGAAATGGCCACATTCTTTCCTTAAAATTAGGATGGATCATGGAAAAGTGGCAAGTATCAGTATCTTTTTTTTTCCCACTGACTAGCACTATTTTTTCTTTTTTATAATGTTTATTCTGAAGCATCATTGTTAAATTTAGTGTTCACTTCTTTACTTTTTCCATAGTGCTAAAAATTCTTTTTTTTTTTTTTAAATTGTGCTTTAGGTGGAAGTTTACAGCTCAAGTCAATTTCTCATACAAAAATTTATACACATATTGTTTTGCGACATTAGCTGCAATCTCCACAATGTGACAACATCCTCTCCCTTTCCACACGAGGTTCCCTGTGTCCATTCAACCAGTTTCTGTCTCTTCTTGCTTTCTCATCCTGCTTTTGGACAGAAGCTGCCCATCTGGTCTTGTATATATGACTGAACTAAGAAGCACATTCCTCACTTGTATAAAAAAACCAAAAAACCAAACCCACTGCCATTGAGTCAATTACGACTCATAGCAACCCTATAGGACAGAGTAGAACTGCTCCATAATGTTTCCAAGGAACGCCTGTCCTGTTCAGTCTCTGTCTGAAGAGTGGGTTTCGAGAATGGTTTCAGTTCTGGGTTAACAGTGCGTCCTAGGGCCATATTTTCAGGGGTTTCTCCAGTCTGTCAGACCATTAAGTTTGGTCTTTTTACGTGAATTTGAGTTCTGTTCTACATTTCTCTCCTGCTCTGTCCGGGACTCTCTACTGTGTTCCCTGTCAGGGTGGTCATTGGTGGTAGCCAGGCACTATCTAGTTCTTCTGGTCTCAGGCTGGTAGAATCTCTGGTTTGGGCTAATAGAGTCTCTGGTTTATGTGGTCCTTTAGTCCTTTGGGCTAATATTTTCCTCGTGTCTTTGGTTTTCTTCGTTCTCCTTTGCTCCAGGTGGGATGGGACTAATTGATATATCTCAGATGGCTGCCCGCAAGCTTTTAAGACCCCAGACGCCAATCACCAAAGTGGGATGTAGAATATTTTCTTAATAATCTTTGTTATGCCAACTGACCTAGATGTCTCCTGAAACTATGGTCCCCAGGCCCCAGTCCCAGCTACTATGTCCCTCAAAGTGTTTGGATGTGTCCAGGAAACTTCTTAGCTTTTGCTCTGGTCCCGTTGTGCTGACTTCCCCTCTATTGTGTGTTGTCCTTCCCTTCACCAAAGTTGATCCTTGTCTACTGTCTAGTTAGTGATTTCCCTTCCCTCTCCCTCCTCACCCTTGTAACCAACAATGAATGCTTTTTTCTGTGTTTAAACCTTTTCTTGAGTTCTTATAATAGTGGTCTCATACAATATTTGTCCTTTTGTGACTAATTTCACTCAGCATAATGCCTTCCAGATTCATCGATGTTGTAAGATGTTAAGTGGATTCATCATTGTTCTTTATCACTGCATAGTATTCCACTGTGTGTATGTACCACAGTTTGTTTATCCATTCATCTGTTGATGGGCATTTAGGTTGTTTCCATCTTTTTGCTATTGTGAATAGTGTTGCAATGAACATAGGTATGTGTAAGTCTATTCGTGTGACGGCTTTTATTTCTCTCAGGTATATTCCTAGGAGTGGGATTGCTGGATCATTTTACCAAATCATTTTCCAAAGTGGTTGTACCATTTTACATTCCCACCAGCAGCGCATATGAGCTCCAATCTCTCCACAACCCAACATTTGTTATTTTGTGTGTTTTGGATTAGTGCCAGCCTTGTTGGGGTGAGATGGTATCTCACTGTAGTTCTGATTTGCATTTCTCTAATGGCTAATGATCGTGAGCATTTCCTCATGTGTCTGTTAGCCACTTGAATGTCTTCTTTGGTGAAGTGTCTGTTCATATCATTTGCCCATTTTTTAACTGGATTGTCTTTTTGTTGTTGAAGTGTTGCAGTATCTTGCAGATTTTAAAGATTAGATCCTTATCAAATATCAGTATCTTGATTAAGGGTTACAAAATAGCAGCCAAAGAACAAAAATGTCTATTAGAAGTACTCCAAGAGAATCAGGCAAGAAAAGGTCCTGAAAATCCTTTGTTACTTCTAAAGCTATTAAAAGAGACATTATACAAAACGCAAATGACTTTTATACAGTTGATCCAGGGGTTGTTCTTACTTCGTGTTAATGGAAATTCCTTTATCCCAGTATTCCAAAATATCAGTAGCCTGGACTAAACAGAGTCTATTTTGATACTTGGGAACAACAGCTAGAAAAGAAAGCAATAAAGGCTTTTTCCAAGATACAAAACCCCCCCACAGTCTGTAGCTGGAATGAAGTGAGGCTCATTCAGAACTGGCCTGCTCTGTCTCCAGGCAAAGAATCCACAGCTCTCGTTTCTGAAGAGAGTCACCTACCTGCGATGGCCTGTACAGCCACACGCAGAAATCCCCGCACTTCACCCTTCTCACTGACAATGGCCACCCTGTGGATCAGGGGCACCGGATACAGCAGATTGCTCAGGTAAACAAATGCCCTAGAGATAGAAACCAGGAGACAAACATCAGAGCATCCTACAGAGAGAAGCTGGCTTTCAGGTTCACTGAAAATATCTTCATGAAACTGTGAGCTGGCTACTGTGTCTTGTCTTAAGACATCCTCTCTGTTCTGTACTCTCAGATTGCCTCAGTTTACTTCTTCAGCACAGATAATATGTAAACAAATGCCAATGCTTGGCAAAGCAGCTGACAAAGACCAACTGACAAATTACTCTCTATAAAAATCACTACTGTAGGTAGAAGAGTAACAATTGGAAGTAGACTTTCAAGATATTGCTTTACAAAGACTGCTAAGGGCGAGAAGGAGAAAGGGAACCTACTAAAGAACTTAACCTTTTAAGGTAAGGAATTATAAAGAGGTTCTGACTTATTTTGGTTTTTTTTCCCCAACAGATTAAACAGAAGTCAGAGACAAAAAATGCAGGGAACTGTAACTGGAATACAGTTAGCAACTCCAAAACAGATTTTATGCCACAGCATTATAAGTCTTTATTTTTACTCTAAGAAATGACTATTAGCTTCAGGCAGGGTGACTGACATGGTAAGGAAAACAAACACATATGGGCAGAGAGGCTAAGCAGCCAGAAATTGCCGAGTAGCGAGTTTAGAGGAGACTCTGAAACAGCATGCAGATAAACGCTAAAGGAAAAGAGAGCTGTTCCCTAAAGGGTTTGCTTTTGCCCCTAGAGTCCCAAATCTAGTTCAGAAATGCAAAAATAAAAAGTAAGTTACAGATCTAACATTTTATATTTCAAATGAACTAGCAAAGTCCTTCCTATCACATTTATACATTTTTCTTCTCTATTTTGTAGCTATTGATTTTTTCAAAAGCAATAAAAACTGGTGATCATAAAGCTTAAGAGTGTTCATTCCAATTAGTGGATGGGAAATGGAATCTAGTTCCCACTGTTACTCCTGTCTCCCCACTTGGTATATGCTGATCTTTGAACGTAAGACAAAAGACAAAGAGCAAACACTGGCATCAAGAAGTCAAACATAATGTGACACATATGCCTGTCTGCTTCTTTTCCTGCTCTGAAAACTACTTTAAAACAAAGAGAAAAGGAAGGTGGAGTGAATATTCAGGATTTCAACTCAAAGTAATGAAAACAATTCTGGAAACAGGCAAAATGCATCACAGAAAAAAAAAGATGTTAATAAAACTTTAAAAGCATAAATGAAATGTGGATGAAAAGTACAACAAAAACAACTGCAAGTGAACATTAAAGCTAAACAAATGACGTCTACTTCCCTTTCAGTCTGCTCCAAAGGGTGGGCAAAGCTAAGAAATGGAGGGTTAAAGCTTTGCTGTACAAAAATAAGGAAATAAAACACCTTCTAAAAAGAATTACAAATAAGACTATCGAACATTAACTACTGTCACAAAGGTTAAAAGACTAAGAATTTGGCATGAGGTACCAAACAGATAATTTCCCTTCCAAAGTCAGCACACATAAAGACCCCCACATCTCTAAGGACATTCCAGCCAGACTTGCCATTTTCAATTCCTTGGCTACTACAAACCCACTGCACATGCTTGTCCCCTGCCTAGAATTCTTCTTGCACTCTACTACCCACCTCATGCCTTCAATTCCACATGTTCGGGTCATATTTCAAATAGCAGATCAGGCCAGGACTCCCAATATTGTATGTTCCCAGCAATATACATGACTCTTTCATCATTGCTATAATTTACATTTATTTGTGTGATTATTTAATTTACACCTGTCTCACCCACCAGGCTGTAAGTCTGAGGACAGGAACAATCTCTGGTTTTGCTCACCACTGTCTACAGTGGGCTTGGCATACAGTAAATATACTCAGTAAGCATCTGGTGAGTGACTGAACACATGGCCATAAGGAAACAGGAAAATGACCTTTCCTCTATCTTGAAGAAGACATGGAAGGTTTTCCAGAAAAATGGGTTACACTAGAGGCCCAGAATCAAAGCCATCCAACTTTGCACTAGATTTTTCAAAACGACACTTGTGATGAATATTAACTATATGGAACTTGCTTAGGTTCCTAACTACACTTAATATGTTACCTTAAAAATAGCTCTTCAAAAACAGGAACAATTGCTTTTTAAGAACACTTGCTACTTAAAGGTATTGCGCATCAAAATTCACAAATACACATTACGATAAAGTACTGTTCAGCACACATGAAAGACAGAATCTCCTTTCTGCTGATGGCAATGGCAAATCCAAATGTGAAAGTACAGAATCTGACACTGTATTCTTGTAGATTTCTCTTTTTAGAAAAGATAATTCTGCAATCCTATGGTAGTAGCAGGGCACACTGAGCAGCACTGTGACTACACAATTACACAGCTGCTAGTCTTACTATCAGAATATAGTCCTTAGCCCCAAATTCATGCTGTATAAAAATTCCCTTCCAAACCTTTTTAAACTGGAGGACTCCTAAGAGTCCTCATGCCTTGACCTAGCAGACTGAAGGAGAACACGGATGAGAGGAGAAAATGCAAAGGATATATTAGCAGAAAGGTCTGTGAAGTTACATCAAAAAGGGAAACAAATTTTGTCAACATAAACAGAAGAAAAATCAGCATAATTATGGTGATAGTTACAGAAAGAGTGTCAGTTCAGGTGCTTACAGAGGTCACAGAATAACCATTTTTTTTTGCCCTGTTTTAACCCATAAGAGTAGATTAAATAGTTAACATTTCTTCCCAAATTATGATGGATGGTTCATAACATACCAGCATGCCATAAGAGAATAGCTAAAGGGACAAGCTCTTTTATTTTTCATAAAAAGATTCACCAGAGGCAGCCAAGGCCAAAAACCAAAATGTACAAATGGAATTTCACAAAAAACTGGAACATTTATAATATGATTTATATTTGCAATTATGTGCCAATAGGGGAAATCCAATCCAGTGAATCACAAAGACAGGAAAAAATTTACTCCTTTTACACATATAACGACCACCACAACTGGGTGATGTTGCACTGTTATTATGAATTTTGTTTGTACAACAAGCAGCGTATCAAGGGCAAAAATGCGGGAGAGCTATACTTCGTTTTATTGAGTGCTGTAATTTCACCTTTTCCCCCAACCTCTTTCTTGCAAGGCAGAGTTAGTTTCAGAATCTGGGAACCTGAAATAATGGAAAAGGTCAATTCATGAGCCACAGCTCCATAAATATTTTATCTGAAAATCAAAGTTACTGCATTATACCTAAACTTAGATCTAATATGATCAAAATGAATACAGCCAGAAAATTTAAACTAGAGGAAAAATAGTACATAGATCTTAAGAGCCAGTGAATTTTCACATTAAGTGGGATTTTAAGTTTCCCATACAACTGACTCAAGATATAAATGCTTCTGAGTAGAAGCCTTAACCTGGGTATTCATTTTGCAAGTAGAGAAGACAGAATCTGAAAGACGAACAAGATCTTTAAGGCTTTTTTTTTCCTATCTAACTGCATTTTACACCTGAGAAGCCAAGAGGCTCCAGTTTAAGTTGCTTGTCCTAAGTTAGTAGCAACATTATGACATGCTATAACAAAGCCTAGGACTCGAGGCTCCTCCTGACAATCAGTTAACGTTCTTTGCATCATACTATGTAAGATGAAGCTACCTGTTCCTTGCTGTGTGGCGGTGTAGAGCACAAATAAGCAGCTTTAAAAGCTGTGTAACTGGCACCATGACAAAGCAGTTTATGGCCAGAAGCGTGGTTCGAACTTAGAATAGGATGGAAATGTGCTGAAGTACATGGACAGTCATAAAATAAAGGTATTATTGTCCCATATATTTGTGCACAGAACTACTTTTCTCAATTAATATTAAAATAAATCCACAGGCAAACTGAGTCAAAGCATCTGTTCCCGGTGATACACCAGAAGAAAAAATATTCATGGCTATTTAATCCCTTTATGCCTATTCATGGAAAAACTGAATTCTAAATGCCCCTTTGCCACTGTAAAATCCAGAGACTGTCTAATACTATGCCCCATAATTATAACTGAGGCTTGTATTTCTATCAGAAAGCTTTTCGTCTTTCCCTTTCCATATAAGTGATCGTTTTCTACATTATTAAGTTCCTACCAGGTGACCAACATCGCACTAGGGGCTAAGCTTTAAACCTTATACCTCTGCCAGGTCAGAAGTCTCGCTGCACTTTATTTTTAGATAACTGGTGCTTGTCCATTTAACAGTGACATATTCTTATTTTTAAAGAGTTCAATAATGTGGGTTCTAATATACCATTAAAATTAAGTCTAATACCTCAGAACCTGGCCAAACTTTTTGGTTAACGCGGTGAGCGCTGCACTGTTGAACTTGTAACTCAAATTACTTCAGCATGAAGACTGGATGTACACAAAGACACCAGTATTAGGAACATGTGCATGGAGAGTTCTGGATCACTGACAGATAGATGCACAAACTGAGAGCCAGAGACAATGCTTCAGTTTGGCGAGCTAAACTCAACACAAAGCAGTTTCATGTAGCGCTGAACAAATATCCATTGTTGAAAGTGTCAATAGATACTTTCTCCGACTCATCGTTCTAAAGCCTGTAGGTAGTATGTTAGAGAAGCCAAAGACCTGTAGATCGGTTCAGTGAAACTGGCCAAAGAAAGAAATCCATTTTAGTCAAAGGTGAAACCTGACCTTCCTGATTGTTTTTAGGAATCAGGAGACTAAGCAAAAAATAAACCTAACCCTAATCCTGATTCCACTTCTGTTCTCTTGATTCCTACTGCTGCCATGAGTCCTCAGCCAAGCCTTGGCCTTGCTCTGCTCTCTTTTTCACCCCATATGCTTCCTTACTCACACTCCTCTAAAGAGGAAACACCTAGGCCACAATGCCATTCTTTGAACCCATTACGCTTTAGTCTAAGATTTAATTACTTTCTCTTTTGGCGTTCCTCTCTCAGAACAATATTATCGAGCAACTTAAGACAAGGGGTCCTCCACTGTAGTAAAGTCTTCCTATGTTGCTCCATGCTGTACTGAGTAGGCTGAGGTCTCTCTCTAGCCAGAGCAGCATTTATAAAGAGCTTCACACATTGGAATGAGTGTTCATGAACTGAATTGGCTAAAGCAAGATCACCCAAAATTGCAGAAAGAGGCCTTTACAGCAAGAGCTGGTCCCTTTTTGCCTTTCTCACAATAACCTCACCAACCTTCCCACTAAAATGAACCAGGGGGATCGGTCGTAAAACGGGTCATGCCCGTCACTGAAGAGATCTGATCCCTCCTCCGTCCCTGCGTCAGAGCCGGTGTCATCCACGAATGCCTCATCATCAAAATCCTCCATCTCATCTTGCTGCTCGTCAGCCAGCTCAGTGATGTCAGAATCGGCCGTGGAAAAAGTGGGGGAGGGTGTGCGGTCGGCAAGGCGCTCATTCACACAGCCGTGGAAAATGGGGGAGCTAGACACCAGGTAACACGACGACGATTCACACAGCCAGGGAGAGAGGAATAGTTGGTTAAACAGAAGCTATGGGTGCCAACAGGACAGAATCCACTGAGGAATCAACACAATAAAAGCAAGTGGAAAAGCAAAAGGATAAAATCAGCATAAATCATCTGCATCAGGTGAAAAGAAACAAGGGCAGGCTGAAAAAGTTATGCAAGGACTGATCCTTAGAATAAGAAAAGCAAAGGAAATACATAAGTAGAGTATTCCAGGTAAATATTGTGTTGTAAAATGTTTATGTTCTCCAAGTCACATAAAAGATCAGCATTCAGGCCTCAAAGGAGCCACTCAACATGAAGGAGAAATGATAAGGATTTAAAATATTTTCTTAAATTCTCAAGTCGTCTTGGAGCAGAAAACAAAATGGATGAAAAGATATGCCAAAGAAAGTACATCCCTTGCTTTTGGGTAAGACAAGTTCGGCCAATTCGTCTCTTTAAAAGCTACTCTGCTATTAGGGGGAGAAAGGAGGAAGAGTTACTTCATTTCTAGGAAATGAAGTATATAACTTCATCTCCTCCTTTTTACCTAATTCATTTAAAAACTCTCAGAGTGCTTTTGCAATTGAAAAACAATTCCAATTCTAAGTCATTAAGCTCAAAACTATATTTCCCTGCTTTTATAATTCTAAATCTCTAAGAACTTGATTCAATAAAGACTCACAGAGGCGCTATTTGTTTTCATTAAACACTGAAAATAATGTATACACAAAAGAGGTTCAAATGGACTACCAAGGTGTATAATTAATTCATCCGTGGCAAAGACTAAACTGAGATGAACTACTTAAAAAAAAAAAGTGAGGACAAATCAGATCATGGACAGATAAGTCACACTACGGTTTTTAACTGCACAGGATATAGACCCAGCTTTCCTTTTTCTTGTAAATGTATCTTGTTCAACTACAAGACATTTCATGAACGAGTTGAGAGACAGGAAGAGTGTCAAATACTTTGATTTAAAGTTTGATACTCAAAACAAATATGCATGTTGAATAAAACTGAAGAGAAATATACTGAGCAACACACTGGTGGTACGTGAGTGGTTAAGACTATAGAGGGGGTTTTTTATATTTAAAAAATTTTTTTCTATAATGTCTGCTGAGGTTTTAAACAATTAAAATTAAACCAATCATTATTTTAAAAAGAAAACAGAGAAAATCATCACATACCTTCCTACAAGTTTGAACCAATGGAACCGATCATAAAATGGATCACTGCCAGTCATAGTGGTTTCACTCTCATCTTGGGCATTGGAGGCCATCTCCCCTGCCCTGTCATACATCTCTCGCATCAAATCCAGCCTCTGCCTATATAAACACAAAGCAATGGGTTAATATCATGAGAATGCATTAAAATTTTGCATTGGAAGCATCTTCCATGCAAGATAAAAAAACAAAAAACTTGCTTGCACCATTTCATGTTATTAAAGAATGAAGGCCAAAAGTGCAGAGACCAAAACACTCACTATCCAAAGTGTCTGAGTCTAGAGAGACAAGTCACCAAAAGTCAAGACCAGACACCAAATCTCTCTTGACTAGAAAGAGAAATGTAGTCCAATGGCATATGACATCTCAAATATACTGAAACAGCAGAAAAAAATCTCATCATACTAAATGCAAAGGAAGCTAGAGTGTAACTTTCCTGTTTATTGCTGCTCATCATGAGATCCTGGTCAGAAAAGATGAATAATTACTAGATTCAAGGCAGAAAAAGATAGCATGAAATAAGAACGTTTAAAAGAAAATGGATGGATAGTAATATCATTGGCCAGAAACAAGCATTTAGAAAGCAAAGACAAGGAAGCAACAGTGTCTTCAGAGAGGAGAGTTTGAGGGAACTCATTTGAGCAATTCATTAGTAAGCATGAATAATATTCTCATACTTGAGTTTCTCCAGAGACCAATAATGTGTTGCTCCATTCTTCAGATCCTGAACTTCTACTGCTACCACCGTACGAGGGAAAGGTCTGCCTTCAAGACTTTTCTCCATCTCAGTGGGAAGTAGCTCAGGAGGCAATGGGGAGTACAGTGTGTCAGTCAACAGAACAAACTGAAACTGCACCTAAATGGAAAAAATAAACCACCAATCATCAAATGGTCTTTTTGTTCACAGCAAGAAGGCCTCAGAGACAAGGCAATATAATCATGCTCAGTGCGGAAGAGGTAAAACACAAAGTCTATGCTCAACAGATAGTTTGTGACTAACTGAAAGAAAAAAAGGTCACTTGCATTATTAATCATAGGGAATAATTCTAATTTTAAACCATGCTACTTACAGCCTTTTATTCCCTAGCCTAGCACAAAGTTTTGGCATAGACTAAAATTTCAACCATTATATTTTGGTTGACTGAATGCAGACTGTCACAGTACTTATACAGGAAACCAGAAGATGGACTCAAGAGTGCGTCTCTAGTCTCTCACTAATGAGAGAGGATGGAAAAATGTCAAGGTTTTCTATTCTAAATTCAGAGGATTACAACAACTACCCTCAAGAGTGTTTACTTTATGGTAAGTGCTTTGCATAAATCATGTCATTTATTTCTCGCTACCACCCTAAATTTTCACCAACAAATATTAATTAAATGCTAGGTATAGCAGTAAGGAAAAAAAAAAAAGATATAGTACCTGCTTTCATTTAGTCTACACAAGGATGGGAGCAGCTAATAAATTACAAAATGAGAAAGGCTACTAAAATTATGAATATAGCGCTTCCTAGAGAACAACTGAGAAGGTGGTGGTTCAAATCCACCCAGAGGTACCTTGGAAGACAGTTCTGGTGATCTGCTTCACAGCCTTGAAAACTCTATACAGCAGTTCTACACTGCACATGTGGGGTCACCAAGAATCAGAATAGACTCAATAGCCAACTAACAACAACAACAACAATTAGGGGATCTACTTAGAGTGAGTGGAGAAGCTATCAATAAAGAAGACATCTTATCCTCATTTTACAGAACTAGAGTACAGAGCACTAGAGAAGATAACGAATTTTCTGTGCACTTACTTCGTACAGAATATTGCCTCCTGCTATAATCTTAGTATTCAAGAGACAGTTCCAGAAGACTGAATCTAAGATTCTGTGTGAAATTTTGATAATTTACCAAAAAAGGTAACGTCTAGGCACTATCTTAAGGAGCCCTGGTGGTGCATTTGTTAAGCACTTAAATGCTAACCGAAAGGTTGGTGGTTCAAACCTACCAGCGGCTCCATGGGAGAAAAGACCTGGCAATCTGCTCGCATAAAGATTATAGCCTAGGAAACCCTATGGGGCAGTTCTACTCTGTCCTATAGGGTCGCTATGAGTCGGAATCGACTTGATGGCACACAACAACAGCAGGCACTATCTTAAGTGCCTGACATGTATCAACTCTTTATTGTTCATCAAACCCCAGGGTAGTAGGTTCTACCACCACCCCCATTTTGTAGATCAGGGAACGGAGGCTTGGGGGTTTTGGGGTCAACATATCTAAAAAAGCTGGGATTGGAACTCAGTGAGTTTGGGTGCAGAGTGTATGTGCTTGTCCACTACACAATACTACCTCTCAGAATCTAGAAGAGGAGTTAAAATTCATGGGAAGAGGGCACAAAGAGTTTAGAGACATAAACTTAAGGTAGAAAACTAAAAGAAAATTGAGATTTTTCAGGAATCCAAGCCAAGCCATTTTTCTACTGATATGTTTCTCTATCACTTGTCAGTAATACAGTCTCCTCATTTATAAAATAAGCAAGAAAACATCTATTTTTATTTCATTTAATAAAAACTTAATTAGTACCTATTATGTGCCAGGTAGGGCCCTGGTGGCACAGTGGTTAAGAGCTCAGCTGCTAACCAAAAGGTTGGCAGTTCGAATCTACCAAGCTGCTCCCTGGAACCCCTACAGGGCAGTTCTACTCTGCCCTATAAGGTCTCGATGAGTCGGAATTGACTCGATAGCAACGGGTTTGGTTTTTGGTATGTTCCAGGCAAGGAGCCCTGATGGTGCAACAGTTAAGGGCTCAGCTACTAACGGAAAGGTTGGCGCTTCGAACCTACCTGGCGGCTCCATGGGAGAATGACCTGGCGATCTGATCTTGTAGAGATTATAGCCTAGAAAACTCTATGGGGTAGTTCTACTCTGTTACATGAGGTCACTATGAGTCAGAATCGACTCAATGGCATCTAACAACATGTTCCAGGCACATGTGTTAAATAAAGGCACATATAAACCTGTTTCATAGCATAATGCAGCTGAGTTCACTCAAGGGACAAGTTAATCCAAGATGAACCCACACTGGGCTCAGCTTTGCCTCTAGATTGTCTGCATTCTCACTACCCTCCGTACCTGCTTCTTCAATTCCACACTGATGGCATTAGCCTCCTTGAGGTAAACGGCATTGCCCCAGAGTAAGTCCCTTAATGAAGTAAACTGGTGAGACTTCCACTTCCGGAATGCCCACTGGGCCAACTCAAATTCATGCTGTGTCCAAGGAACTGAAAGAGCAAAGGAAACACATTTAATGGTGATCTCATAACTACGTAGAAATTACATCCTTCCTCTACCTTCTCTGTCTTATCAAGTTATTTTCCAGTTTTTTCCCATTCAGCTGCTTTTGTTCTTGTTTTCTTCTTAAAAGCTTACTAAATTCTTTTGATATTATGAAAGTGGTTTACACATTTCAGAAAAACTAAAAAAATTCTATTTAAAACAGTACATCAAAGAAATGTTTCACTTCCTTTTTTTTTAAAGATATATTTCTAACGTGTAGCTTATAATAAAGAAAATATCCCCAGTATGTTGTATAACATCATATTTATCTTTTTTCTTTCTAATAAAGGGGGGAAAAGAGACTAAAGGAAAAGGAGTCATATTTCACTTAGATATTTAAAAATAAAGAATTTATTAAATGAGAAGGTCTTTCAAAGTTAATGTGAAGGCTTGAAGTGACTGAGTATGAGTGGAGGTAGGATGAATGTTCAATATTACATTATGTGACAGTAACTAATAATGAAAACCCTAATTCAGCTAAGAAATTCTGGAAAACCTAAGGCATGCAGGCATGACTAAACAATGTGATTAGAAATCTGCTAGAGATGGCTTCAAAGTACACTGAAGTATCCCAAAATCCTAGTTGGGAAATCCCTGACATAAACCATAACCCAGAAAATAAAACAGTGTCTTAACAAAGATTAAACTCTATATTTATTTGTAACAGATACATGAACTTCATATGTGTAGTACTATGTGACAGTGTAAGTAAACTGTCCAAGAGATTTATAATGTTTATAAGGATGAAGCTTGTGCTCAGAGACCTTGTGAAGACAGAATACTATCAACTCCACCCCCACCTCATAGAACAGAGCCTGTGTTCTTGGCATTGAGCATCTTTTAAACAATCTTTAAATTGGCTTTGTAAAATATCAATAAATGGTAGCATCAACTATGAGGAATCCAGATTTGATCACAAAAGACTAATAACACAGATTCAAAAGGTATACACAGGAAAGTTTTGGTCTCTAGATTTCACCTTCTTCCTCCTCTTCTTCCTCTTCCGTTGCTTCTGCAGCAAGGGATCGAGTCTCAACCTGCTTCTGCAAGGCCTGCAATTTACTCTCATAATCCTGAATGAAAAGAAAGGAGATAACATGTAGGAGAGAGAGGAAGTAAAAGGGAAGAAAAAGAGAAATGAAAAGAATATTGGGAAAAGTAAAGAAAGCAAAGGGAAAAGAGGAGAGACCGAGGCGGGAAACGTAATAAAAGGACAAAAACACAGAGAAATGCTTAGGAAAAAAACCACAAAGCACACAAGATAGTCCATAATGGGAAATGCTAAAAAATTTAACTGCAGTTTGTCTCCTACTTCCTCAAAGACTCAAGAGTTCTTTATTTGCAGCTGGGGTAGAAGAAAGGGGGGATTTTGAGAGGGAAAAAAATAGACGTCCCTTAAATGCTAAAATATACTTAAGCAATAGCTTACACATCAGGGTATTTGAGTGAAAAACAATACTGGAAAAGATCAAGTTTGACAGCATCACCAACAGTCCCAATTATCTAACTGTTTGGATGAAAAAAATTAGGATTTTAGATAATAAATCTCCCTATGGGTAAAAAATTACTATTTTTGCAGCTATAGGATGAGTTTAGCCTTCAGGTAACTGAAAGCTCACAGTACTATTAGTATTATAATAATTTATAGATTGCATTTAGTTATTCAAGAAAGATACTTTATTTTAAAATATACTATTATAACACAAAATATCGTATTATAATACAAATCAGATTTATCCGTCACTCTTCCATCTACTCCATACATTCTCCTTGAGGGCAATATAACCCCCAAGGGGGCAAAAAATGGTTCTTGGAGGATGAAAAAAAAACCTTACTCTTTTTATGTATAAAACACAGGTATACATATGGTATATAAACAGATACACAGTATATTTGTGGTATTAAAATTTCCTGGTGGGGAAAGATTAGGAAAAAATGAAAGGGTCCTTGGGTATGGTACGTCGATAATAAAAATAAGGTTGAGAAACACTGATCTACTCTAACAGAATTTAAGACATTTCACTGTCATGTACTCAATTTGAGAAGCTGAGTAAAAAAGAAAGTAATCAGAAAACACTAAATTAAAGAACTTTCTTAAAATAGACGGGAAATGAAGGAAGAATTTAAAAAATTGTCCAAAGTGCAACTAGCTCCTTTAAAAAAAAGAAAAAAACTAGGTCATTTTCCATAGTGAATGGTCTAAATATAAGCATGTTTCCAACTAAACTGTATTTACATTTCTATTTAAAAATGTATGATTTACAAATAGGAAAAAAAAATCTTAACATACATAACCTAAAATAATGTAGAAATGAATACATCTTAATAGATATTAAGTCTGGAGAGAGACTGGGAATAGTTGCTTAATTCATTCAACTTGATAATGTATGTAAGAAAATTAATGATGAACCAGATTTACTATATTAATCTTCTCCTTAAAATACGTATCAACATGTTCTGAAGGAATGATCATTTAATGAATTTTAATGAAAATAAAACAAGTAGGGGTAAGAAAAGAGACCTTTACATAATAAAATACCAAATCACAGCATAAACACAGCATTTTAAAATATACTGCCTGGGTTTCCTGCTTTCTTTGGTTCCGCAGGAGTGACCCAATTATGGAATGTCATGAACAGAGGGTTGAGGTATGACCACGTATTCCATTTTCAAGCAAAGCTCTCCAAGTCACAGATCAAATATTCTACATAATAACAAGCACCACTGAAAGCCTCTGTAGCAAACTCCATCACAAAGGGAGCTCGTGAGGGCAGTGCTGAGGAGGCAACTATTCTCTGAGGCTCTCTGGTCCTTTTAATCTCACAAAGGAAGCTTTCTCTCTGTAGTGGGGCTGGCAGTGACCAAGAACTAACGACACAACTTTATTAAATACCTGAACACACTTTTTAGGAGACTATGTACTGTGGCAAAAAGAAAGAAAAAAAATTAAACTAATAGGTAAAAGACTTGGGAGTTTGGTCCTGGCACCTGCTCTTACTAGCCTTATAACCCTGGGAAAGTTAAATCTCTCTTAATCTCACTTTTGTCATATTTATAATGAAGATTTTAGCATTTTATCTGCCTATCGCACAGGACTGCTGGAAAGAGCAACTGATGAACCATTTAAGAACACATATGAAAGCCCTTTTAAATGGTGAGCACTATTAAAATGACAGAAAATGGTTAAAAAGGTTTATTTTCTAAGCATATCTAGCATCCAGATCGTGGTTTCTAAGTGCCATTCCTCACTAAAAGGAATCAGGGCTCTTTGGGAAAATGGCCGACTCTGGGTTTGGAGCAAGGAAGAATACAAGGTGAGCCTGGAATATCTTGTGCTAGAAAGCAAGAAAAGTGCTTAAAGACAGATGGGGCTATTTCAAATGGACACAGGATCCTGCTGGCCAATAAATAAGAATGATATTGTGATCCAATATATATTGTGATCCAACCGAATGCGGAAATTATCGAACGATATCATTAATATCACACCCAAGTAAAATTTTGCTGAAGATCATTCAAAAGCGGCTGTAGCAGTATATAGACAGGGAAATGCTAGAAATTCAAGCGAGATTCAGAAGAAGACGTGGAACCAGGGATACCACAGGTGATGTCAGATGGATCCTGGCTGAAAGCAAAGAATATCAGAAAGAAATCTACCTCAGTTTTATGGACTATGCAAAGGCATTCGACTGTATGGATCACAACAAATTATGGATAACACTGCAAAGACTGGAAATTCCAGAACACTTAATTGTGCTCATGAGGAACCTGTACATAGGCTAAGAGGCAATGGTTCGAACAGAACAAGGGGATACTACATGGTTTAAAGTCAGGAAAGGTGTGCCTTAGGGTTGTATCCTTTCACCATACTTATTCAATCTGTGTGCTGAGCAAATAATCCGAGAAGCTGGACTGTATATGAAGAAGAACAGGGCATCAGGATTGGAGGAAGACTCATTAACAACCTGTGTCAACCTTGCTTGCTGAAAGTGAAGAGGACTTGAAGCACTTACTGATGAGGATCAAAGACCACAGCCTTCAGTATGAATTGCACCTCAACATAAAGAAAACAAAAATCCTCACAACTGGACCAATAAGCAACATCATGATAAACGGAGAAAAGACTGAAGTTGTCAAGGATTTCATTTTACTTGGATCCACAATCAACACCCAAGGAAGCAGCAGTCAAGAAATCAAAAGACACACTGCACTGGGCAAATATGCTGCAAAAGACCTCTTTATAAAGTGTTGATAAGCAAAGATGTCACCTTGAAGACTAAGGTGCACCTGACCCAAGCCATGGTGTTTTCAATCATCTCATATGCATGCAAAAGCTGGTCAATGAATAAGGAAGACCAAAGAAGAATTAATGCCTTTGGATTGTGGTGTTGAGGAAAAATGTTGAATATACTATGGACTGCCAAAAGGAGGAACAAATCTGCCTTGGAAGAAGTACAATCAGAATGCTCTTTAGAAGCAAGGATGGCGAGATGACGTCTCACATACTTTGGACATGTTATCAAGCGGGATCAGTCCCTAGAGAAGGTCACCATGCTTGGTAAAGTAGAGTCAGTGAAAAAGAGGAAGACCCTCAATGAGATGGATTGACACACTAGCTATAACAATGGGCTCAAGCATAACGATTTTGAGGATGGTGCAGGACCGGGCAGTGTTTTGTTCTGTTGTACATAGGGTCGCTATGAGTTGGAACTGACTCAATGGCACCTAACAATAACTAGCTATCTGGATGTCAGGTAGTAGCTGTACGTCTGTGTCTTGTGCTCAGGGCAAAGGCCCAGGCCAGGCAGTGGTTTACAGACAGACGACCTAAGACTGGATCTGGCTCCCCCACTTACTAACTGTGTGACTCTGGGAAAGTTGTTAACTTCTTTGTGCCTCATCATCCTCATATGTAAAATGGGAATAATAATACTTGCCTCATAAGAGGGGTGTTGTGAGGATTCGATGAGTTACATGTATAAAGTTTACTGGTACCGAGTAAATGCTTAATACACATGAGTTATCAGTGTCTTCATCATCATCAGTGTAAAAATGGAAGGTAAAGCATCATAAATGTATAAGATCTCCCAGGGGAATGGTTATAGATATAGAAGTAGTCCAAAGTCTGGGGCCACAGGAGACCATGAAGGAGCAGCCAGTGAGGTAGGAGGAAAATCAGAAAACTAGGGTGTCATGGGAGCCAAGAAAATTAAGTGTTTCAAAAAGTAAAGAGTAGGCAACTGTGTCAGATGCTTCTGGGAGATCTAGTCAGATGGGACTGAGAAAACACCATTGGATTTGTCACCACGGAAATCTTTGGTGACCCTGGTAAAAGTGGCTTCAGTGGTGAGATGGAAGCAAAAGTCTGACTACAGTGAGTTCAAGCAAGAAAGGGGAGAGGACAAATTAAAGACTGGCAGGTGGACAAAGCTGAAAACAATTAAGTACAGAAAACTCTCTCAAGGAGTATTTCTATTAAAAAAGAACAGAGAAATAGAACAGTAGCTGGCAGGGCACATGGGGCCTAGGAAAGACTTTTTTGAAATTGGTGAAATGAAGCCATGCTTGTGTGCTGACAAGGAGTAATCCAGAAACAGAGAAAGTGATGTCGTAAAAGAGAATGGGATAAATGCACATTAAATCCTTGAGAAGGTGGACTGGGCAGGAAGAGTGGCATGTGAGCTCATATCTGAAGGAGGAGCTAGCGTGATGGAAAAGGATTCCAGTCTTGAAGAAGCGCAAAAGCCCTGAGGTGGAACCTGAGGAAGCGCAAAAGCCTTGAGGTGGAACCAAGTCTGGCACACTCAAGGCACCGAAGGCCAGAGTGCTTGCAGTGTGAGAGTATTTAAGGAATGAAGTCAGAGAGGCAGGCAAGAGGCCAGACACATAAAGCCTCATAGGCCATGGTGAGAAGTTTGGATTTTTAAGGGAAGGCACTGGAGGTAATTGATATGATCCGATGTTTTTAAAGATTATAATGTTTTTTTAAAATGCTACTAGTTGCTGTGTGGACAGTGGATTATAGGTGTCAAGAACAAAAGTGAAGAGACAAGTTAGGAGGCTACCGCAGTAC